TCTCTCTCCCAATCATTTCTGCATGCCATTCAAGTTATTAAATGATTTGCACAGATTTGCACGATTTTCGTCACAAACTTCGACCGCATTTCTTTCGTCTCTCTCCGCCATTTGACAATTATTGTAAACCAGACAAAATGAATTCACGTTCAACAAATTAATTTTTCGTACGTTTGGGTCAAGCATTTGGCTTTTATATTTTAATCAGCCTTCGCACCACACAAATAATATAAAAATTAGCCTCGTGAAAATATTAATCGCAGCAAGAACCTCAGACACACACAGTATTTTGAAACTATGTTAACTACTAGCTTTTCCTTTAGAATTTGGAATTTAAGCGGCCAAATGGACAGAGATTGAAAGATTGAAATCGTTTCACCGGCCCCATAGGATCACGCGCGCGTAACTTTTCAACTTCATTCCATCGTGTATTTTTACTTTCATTTTTGCTTCGAACATTTTTTTCTTCTCTTCAAATTATTTGTCATTTGCTGTGTGTGTGTGTGTTCGTTCAGTGGCGGTTGTTGTTTCAGATAAAATAGATTGAAATCTGTCAATAATTGAGTTGGTGAGTGCAATTCCTTCTCGGCTGAGAAAGGTAGGAGTGATTTCTGGCCGGTTCCAGGCAATAGGCAATATTAAATTGATTCATGTTTTCTGCGATGTCATGCTGTTGCTGCTGCCACAACTAACAATTTCACAAAATATCGCTTACAGTTTGGCCCGACAGCCATGATTCGACATGCATGTTGTGCTTTAATGTGACACGCATTATTATAAAAAAAAAAAAACGTTGGATTCGAACACAAATAATAAATGAATTGCGCGGCTCGAGCGCGAGCGCAATCAAGAATGAGACGGAAACATGGACTCTTAACAAAGGTAATTGATTTCTGCGCCGATTGTTGTTGGTGAGCTGAGCGCGATAGCCTCAAGTGATAGACCCCAATTTCAAATCGTATTTCACTTTCAAGCATTTCGATCACAGATCAATATCGACGCTCATATACGTCAACATTTTTTTCCCAATCGATTCGTTTTTGTTAACTTAATTTTTTTCGGATCACAATTATAATTGTCAATATTTTAAAAAAATGAACGTTACATTTGTAAAACGAACTTTTTCCGTTGCTTCTGGGAAACTTTTCCAAATTCATTAAGAGTTAAGTTAATACAGTCATGGAAACGTAATTGGGACCGGCAGTGAAATTTAATTTTTTCCCCATTAGTTTTATTATTCTGCAAATAAATATCCATAAATGGAGTTTATGAGAATATTTTAAATTTCTTTAAATGGATTATAATGTCCTTTTTGACATCGGAATAAAGAAAATGGCAAAATGTTCTGTTGATTACAATAATACATCAGGAGACGAACAAATCGCCATATTTCCTATTGCTTAAGAACGCGTTCTGCTCCATCAACTCTAATGCAAATGACTGATACATTCATGGAAAAATATGAGGATGCAGAATCTTTGGTAACAATAAAGTTCGATTCATTAACAAAATTTGCATTTTTTCACCTTCGGTTTGCTCATTTTGATTTTGTTGAAGACTTCAACATAAAGTCATATCAACTATTGCGAAGAGATTTTGAATCCAAAAATGGTTTTGATGATATTTTGACAACCAAAACTGTATCTTTGAAATACAATTTTCGATCGGTTGACCCGTTTGCATATGCTTGACAATTCAAACAAATTTTTCCAACATTCTCATTCTATGGTGAATAAAAATTATTATAAAAACTTCAAATATTCTCAGAAACACCATTTTATTAAAATATTCTTTTTAGAAAATAACAGAAGTAATGGGAAAAATGGAAATTTCACTGCCGCTCCTAATTAAACTTCCATGATTGTACCTATTGAAAGGTAATCTCCGTTTCTTTTCACAATGAATGAACTAGATTTTAGTTTTTGTGCTCTTTTGTACGCAAAAATAGAGATATTCATTCGATCTTCATGTTGTTCCCACAGTACAAAACGTAAATGTTAATCTACGGGCTTTTTCTCCACGTGTTAATTGTTTATGGGTTTTGGTTACTCTACAATCTACTACAAAGTTATGCGAATTCGATCCTTTTTTATGCCAGATTTTCAGATGCAAAAAATCACTTCATCATTTAAGTCAGAGAGAAAAAACGATTTTTATTAATACCATGTTAATTAGAGCAAAAACATAAAATCTCACTGAAACAAATGAGCGGGTTGAAATGTCGTTACGCAGACTGAAATACGCATAGGCTGCGATAAAAGGTATGAAAATTATGCGCGCGCATGTGCATATTCGATTATATGCGATTAAATTAGTTATAAAATAAAGAATAAAACCACAAAAAAAACGCGGTGCACACACTTTTTTCTACGCCATCCATCGGTTGCTAATCGTAAATTAGAGTAGCAGTGTGGTCATAAGACTCGGCATTCTATTCGAATCGATGTATTGCGTTGTTGTGCCGTGGCAAAAAAAAACCATTTTCATTTTATTCTGAGGATTTAATTTTTGCCAATTTATTTTGTTATGGCTGATGAAGGCTGTGACTAATAATAATAATTTTTCAGCATTTTTCGAATAGAATGAGTATGTGTGTTCTTAAAAAGGCCACAAGATTTAATTAAAATGATTATCGAGATGCAAATAAGTGTAGTGTTTCTTGGGCTCTCTTGTGTGAACTATACAAAGTTCACCAAGGAATGAATGTGACAAACACACAAGAACAGGCACAACAGTCGCAGAGACAGTTGCGCTTGCCCGAATCAAAACTCTCCGCAGTCTTGCTTGCCCGTAGAAAAACGGGTGCAGCTGCATTAAGTAAAAGTGCTAATATTAATGAGAATCGATTAAATGAAATTTGTTTTTTTTGCCATTCGCGAAAATTCCAAACAAATATGAAATGAGATGTTTTGTGATCGATAATAACTCGTCAAATGTCTTTTATTCACGCGCATGCTTGTTTTTCTGGTCTGACAGAACGAAGCGGGGAAAAAATCGAAAATCCAAGTCATCACTCATTAGTACGGAATGACGGATAGTACGGTGAAAAATTGAAAAATTTACTTCTTTCTGAATTCACACCTCACACGACTAATGTTGTTCGACTTTTTTGGCGTTGACCAACACGAATGATAGATTCCAAAGCATTGGATCGACACTGTCGATTCGATAGATGACGAAGAAAAAAAACTGTCATTTACATTTCTAATAGATTGCAAAAAATTGATACACACCGGTGAAGTACACGAAACGCAGACTTACGACTCGAAATACCGTCAAATATCAACCTACTGTATGAAAAAATATCATTACGGCCAGCTGCTTCGAAATATGCTGTAGGAAAAAAAAACATCGCACACATATTTTCGATTATTCTGTTTATTTATTCACCGTGATTTTTTTCTTCCATAAATTAAACTAAATACAATTTTTAGCCGTTATGTAACGCGACAAAAACAAAAAGCTAAAGATTAAAAAAGTGTGTGTAGATCAGGCAGGGTTCGTGTATAAACAACAAAGTGCCGTATAATGCGAACACGAAAGAAGCTGAATGAAACAATCCGCAACCATTAAAATAATGTTACACTTACTAATAGCTATGATCACTGATCGCACACCGCCGAACAGCCAACGTTCAACATGCATCAGGATCAACATAAACAATAAGAATTAAGGTGAGTTGTGAAATAAAGTAGTGTAACTTGAGCTTATGTCCGAATATATTACCATAGGCCTAAATTTTATTTACAATAACGATCAAATAAACATATTCCGACAGACAAACGGACAAATCATGCGCATTGTTGTTGAAATGCTTCGGAATAAATCGATTGAATCAGGCCTTGAAGTCAATCGAACACAATTTCACCGAAATTTTTTACAGACAACCGATTATAAAGATTAATTTGAGTCAAGCAATACAATGGTACACGGTGCTTCGTCGCCTCAGGCATTTCAATTATAACATTGACCCTTTTTACAGCATAAAGACACTGTGCTAAAAAGTTAAATGGGCCGAACGATTTTTATCATTTAACAGGAAAGAAATAGTTTTAATTATTCTTATTGTTCGGTGGTTTATCATGGCAAAAGGAAAACATAGGCATTCATGTTTTTCTTCTGCGAGTTATGCAAATGCAAAGATTAACCGTCTTTTTTTTAAAGTACATTGTATTGACATGGGCATTGAAAACTGAAAGGATTCAAAAAACCATAGAATCGTTGTTTTAACATTGATTCGTTTTTTTTTTTTTCATCTATTTTATTCATTCATTCACAAAACTAAGCATTCAGTCAATTTTGGCTTTTTAGTGTCTCAATTAATTTCGTGTAATTTGTTTCATTTTCGACAGCGCATGGTGTTGAGTTGCAAATGAAATGAACCTTCGTTTCATTTATCATGATTCATGATTTTGAATTGATTAAACGTTTTGCTTCAGCTTAGCCGCCCGTCAGTGGAAACACGCAAAGCATCTGATCGACTGAACAATTTACTCCACTTACCGTTATACAAATCATTCGAGACACACGACGAGACCTCTTTCGCATCGCAATGCGCAAAATGTATCAAACACGTTTGCTTTGGCTCGCTGTTATTCATCACCGAGAATGTAAAACGTTGCTGCTATATCTGTTCTCGAGACGGAAACTTGCTCAACACACACACACACACACACACACACACCTCTTCTCCGCTACGTGTATCGGTTGTTTTGTGTAACAGTGTATAATTGGAAGTAGAATGTGATCGCGATCATTTCCCCTGCCAATGGAACGAAGCAGAGAGTAAAGCATGCTTGCAGAAAAAGATAACACGCACTGGAATGGTGTGACGCAGTTTTGCATCTACCTGAGCAAATTCGCACACTGGAATGCTGCGAATGGATGAGTGGCGAGTTGTTTTTTTTTTTCCTCTGTGGCTTGGGTAGTAGATTTTTCAAGAAACGCTTTCCTATTTCATTTCTTGTGGCACTTTCAAATCCTCAGTTGCTGGTAAACCGTTAATCGAAGCAGTCGCGTTTCTCTCTAAGCTAAGAGAAAATTCTGCTCGCGAACACTATTTAAAATTGTTTGTGTCATAAAGTGTTTGAAGTATTTTCGAGTTTGACTCGTTCAGTTCTAAAGACTAGTACGAATTGAGAAGCAAATTTATTTTCAATTCAGTTTGAAGTAAAAAAAAAAACAAACGCAGGAATAAGAGAATTAAAAGAGATTACACGAATAAAATGAAATTGATGTGAATTTAGTGCAGTAAAATGACGGAAATTTACACCTCATTTATTTAAACCATTTTTTTCCCCATTTTCTTCGTTTTGATATTGAATATCATTTTACTCTGGATCGATTGTTGTGCTTGAGAAAAGTGACAATTTTCTGGAGAACCAGACAAAAGACACCAATATTTTGTGGATTTTCTGTTTTGTGTGTTGAGTGAACTGAATTAGCAAAATGTTCTCGAAGTAAGTGAATTGAGTTGAGAATTTTTTTTTTCCGAGTTTTTCAATCGATTTTTCAAAAAAAAAAATCGTTAAAAAAGGATTTTTGAGTTGTTCGAACAATTTTTTTGAGATTTCAACCATTCGATCGAGAAAATCGGTTTTTATTGCAGAAAATTGTGGAAAAGTGAAAAAAAGCTGTTGTAGAAAACTCACTTTTTATCTTTAAAAGCCTTTTCGATGGAAAGAAAAGTTGAAATACCCAAGTTCTGTTGTGGACAAATTTCTACTGAAAATGAAAAAAAAAAAATCATGAAAAATCTAATAAAGTTTTTTGTTTGAAGTCAAAATGAAACACAACGTTGCTAAGTTAGAGATTAAATTGTTTCTGTATTCCACTTCTAGAAATAATCTCTTAATTTGAAAGGTGTTTATTTAACACGACGACTTTAATTTGCTTTGAACACCGATTCCGCCACAGTAAACACTATCAGAAAGCTAAATGGATTTTACCGTTATTTTTTTTTTTCAACTCAATCAATTAACAAGTACGTAGGTTGCTAAGACCAGTTGCTTCTTTTGTGCATGTATACATTTGTCGCTGTCTTCCGTCACATGACGATAGTTCATTTCGAAAAAAAAGCAACAAAAAAGCGAAGAAATTGAAAATTGGCCAATCAAGATGTTTTTATTGGGTGTCACTGGATAATGGACACTGTTACATTGTTGCCGATGATATGTTGTTCAAACAAAAAAAAAACTGTTGAATTTTCAATTATTCAAACACTAGATAATTGAAATTAATAACCGGTAAAAATATGTGCTTGATAATAAATCGATTAATGTTTTGCGCGGCTCTCTCGATTCTTCCACGTGCGTCGTAATTAAATGACATAAATCTTCGTTTGATCGTGTTGTGTATGTGTGTGTTGAGTCGTTCATTTTATTTTATCCATCAATGTTTCTTCTGCTTCTGTTGCACATCTGGAGTCTCGTTCTCATCCACTCTCTCTCTCTCTCTTTCACTTGGTATCACGTGAATGCGTCCAATTAATTATGCACAAATCTGGATTGGTTGTTTGAACATTGCTACGTTTAATTGCTAATTAACACTCGCTGTGTACTCATTCCGCGCTGAAAGAAGTTCACTGCGCACCGGGATTAATTAATACCATTATTTACTCTTAATTACAATTTTTTTGATGAAAAGACGGGCCATCATCATGTTGGTCGCCGTGTCAAGCGTATGCAAGCGGAACGACCGCTCGAAAAATTGTATTTCAAAGATACAATCAACACGCAAAACGGTCAAAATATAATCAAAACCATTTTTGGATTCAAATTCCCTCTCACAATAAGTGATATGACTTTATGTTGAAGTCTTCGAAAAAATCAAAATGCGCAAACCGAAGGTGAAAAAATGCAAATTTCGTTAATGAATCAACTTTGTTTTTACCACAGATTCTGCATCTTTAAAATGTCCCATGAATAATTATTTGTGTATCAGTCATTTGCATTGGGGTTAATGGAGCAAAACACGTTCTTGCGCAATCGAAAATGTGACGATTTGTTTGTCTCCAGCTGTATTGTTGTCAACAACAGAACATTTTTCCATTTTCTTTATTCCGACGTTGAAAAGCTGACTTTTTAGCAGAATCTGTATTCCGCATTAAGACTTAGTACGAACAGTTTTTAACAATTGTATCAAGTCTTGATACGAACGCCATCCTAGATGCCAACAGTATCTTTTCCTTCTGTGATTCGGGTCAAGGAAACGTAATGGTCTGCATTGCATGTTAAGTACTTCAATTAAATTCAATCGAAAACAGATCACTTTGATTGGTTGCTGGAAAACTGCATCGAATTGAATAATGCGAATCGATTGTCAGCCGCTAAATAAGTGTTGAATGACCGCCGAAATGGCTTGTCGTTGCCGCACCCAACGCTAAACAGCCATGAAGGAAATGAGCTCAATTTCACAATCGAAAAGAAATTACCGACCACGAGAGGAATGGTCAGAGGAATGCAAACAATGTTATTTATCTGGAGTACAGTTGCGGATAACAAGTTCCTGGTTTGGTACATGACAAAAACGCTTACTACTGTTTTTCTACGCTCATGTTCTGAAAACAGTGCGAAAAGAAAGAAAAATGACAGAAAAAATGGTTTTCACTCTTATGTCATACAAATTGTATGATGCCATTGTAGCGGCACGGTTTGGTGGCTCATTTAAAATGTGATCTCGAAAAAAATTATTTACACAAAAGCGAGATAAATGGATGTTCGGTGCCAGTTGTCAGTATTTTTTCCTTTTTCGAGCTTGCAACCGAAAGTGTACGACAGATGATTGTAATCAACTTTCATTTTCATCGATCGCATACACACTCACACTTGATACGACCTTAACCTTTTCCACATGTCGATTGCATAAATCAAGAAAATGTCGGCATTTTGTGCACATGTAATATTCTTTAACAAACATTTAATATAATTTATCGCGCACCGAAAATGTACAGGCCAGTTTTTTTTCACTCAAATGGCTTGCAATTGCCGCCGTCGTGCGCCCAGAGAAAGCCAATATTATGTCTATCGCACGATCAGCAATTTAACGTAGTAAATAAATGGAATCAAATTGAAAACTAACAAGTTGCACTATTTGCTTTGACCGACGGAACAGAAAAGTTTGCGTGGACCAACGACGACGATGACGACGAAAAATAAAACAACGAACATTCAAAATCGGAATCGAAAGTCAGAAAAAGACCAGTAGACACGAAAAATTCAACGTCATTTAGAGCTAACGAATGCGCACGGCTAATAAATCAATTTAGATTGCATATGGAATCGGCGGAAGAAAAGTCTCTTGGTCGTTTTGCATTTATAAATAATAATTTACGCGGTGAATGCGAGGCGTGAGAGGGTGAAAGAGAGAAAAATAGAGCCTAAAGTCTCTGTGGAACTTGGTTCAATCCGATTCAATTGGCCATTTAACAGGTCTGATTTCGTTCACATCTGTGCACTGTTTCTTTTCTCTTCTTCTTTCGAATGGCTTTGAAATTTCCACTCTCCACCTTCGAGTAGCACGCGCGCGTTTCGCATACAGTAACAACATACGCACACCGTACAAATTGTGTGCTCCATCTTCATCATCACAACTCTGTCACTATACGCAACAAAACTGATTTTCTCTAACCACTCACTTGGCGTTTTTTTTGTCTCTTCAGTCTTTTGATGTATGTTTTTTCTCTTGTGCACGTTGCCAGGCGGTTAAATGGTTTGCCATTTGCTGCGTGCCAAAGTCTTGCACACACGATGTACAATAACGACGCCGTCGTTAAGTTGACGGTGTATTTTTCTTCTCTATGAAAACGGTGTAAAGATCTGTGTAAAGCACGCGTTGTTTGAAAATGGCCAAGGTGGAAAAAGGTAAGGCAGAAGAAGAAAACCGAACAAAAAGAATACCACAATGTATTCCATTGAAGAAACTGGATTAACAGCTTTTTCCGAAGCTGTACAGTATATACCGCAGTGTATGCGACTGATTGAGCCGGAGCTCGATCGAATGCATCAAACGTTTTGTTTCGTCGACGATCTGTGCACTAGCACAAAATAACTTTATTTTCAATGGTTGATCAAACACTTTTACATTCGTTTCACTCTAATTCTTTTGGATTTTGCGAAAATTCCATTCGCCAGAGAAGATGCGTATGTGTCACTTCGCAAATCGGCAATTTAACGCAAGTGTTCACAGTTCAGTTTTCAAGTTGATGCGAATTGGAATCATATTGAAAGAAACAAAATGGTATTTAATACACGACGCACAAAAGAATCGTTTGCGACAATTGAAGCGAAAACGAAGGCCATTAGAGAAGAAGGAAAGTTGGTTTCATTCAGAAATGTAAACTCTTGAGTGATTCAATGCACAAGGTGAAGTAAATTAAACTCTCGAATAAAACAATGTGCGGCCTATTGGAGTTGGCAATAAAACGCTCTATTCTTTGATTTTGTGAAAAAGTTTGAAACAAGCGATGAATTACTTGCGCTCGGCTTGGAGAAAACGGTCAAAGATGAAAAAAAAACAACTGAAATATTATCTAACAATCGGACGTGAAAGTGGATTTAAATGGTGCGGAAACCATCCAAAATTCTTCGCGCTTTGTTTCTCTGCTTCAGCCGTAAAACTGAGCAAAATAGACTAGAAATGAAGAGAAGGAAAAAAATATTCTGTTCAAAATGTCAGTTTCAGATGGCGTCAGCGATCAAACTGCGATAAGATGTGTGTCGAAAATGGCATTCACTTCCTATAGTCTCTCCTCGTCAAAACAGGCCACAACACGCCGCAAACGGAATAAATGCATTTGATGTGTGAATATTAACGTGTTTTCTTTCCCGCGTTCATCATCATCGTCACGCGTTCGCATTAACTCATGCAAACCGCGGGCACGGTACATCACACAATATTCACATTTTATTTTCTCGAGAAATATATATGTTGCTTCGCTGCTAGCGATATTTATGATTTCCATTGCAAACGGTTTCGGTCGTAATTTAGTAATTTGTTCAAAACTGGAATTTCCGGTAAACGTTTCCGATTAAACTCGCATCTAAATACGAAGATGTTCACAATATTAGTCAACCTCGAGTGGACTCAAGCTGAATTTTTTTTTTTTTTATTCGATTTGTCGGGTGAAAATTTCCACAATTTGCTCTTTTTTTCCCGTGTCAAAGTTAATTTGAAATAAACAAACACATTTCATTTCAGATTTCTAATAATTGCTGCAGTACTACTCACAACACCGGCGACGTTTGCTCAATTTCTGCAATCGGTCCAATTGAATACGGTCGGATCGGAATGTGCACTGATTTTGCCAGGCGGTGCCAGATCATCAGCATACGATCACACGCTGAATCTATTTCGAGTCGGAGGATTGTAAGTATAAGCCATTCATTTAAAGACAATATTTTTAATTACTATACTTTAGTGACACAAACACAGTTTTTATTGATTGTAAATTGGCTTATGGGCAAAACAAAGCAAAAAAATATGGAGTTATGGCTTGGACTTGGTGTTACTCTCAATGTATGTATTCTAAACAGTTGCATTTTTGTCACTTGGCTGCAATTGAAAACGAAATCAAGGCAAACTTAGTGAGTGTTTCGATGAAACGCGTGTGTCACCAAGCTGGTGACACCAACCAACAACACCTCAAGCAATTCGAATAAAGGTTTTTTTTTTCTATACATCATATTTGAAACCAAAAAAAATCGGGTTTTTGAATGCATAAAAACATACAAGGTCAAAATGCGTGAATTGCTTTATCAAACGAAGTTCCATCTCTGTCTCGCAAACGCAAAGTAGTTCGAGTGTCTATTTTAAACAATATAATTCTTTTTCACTTCTGATTCTGTCACAAAATGAAAGACTAACCTTGCCACCTTGACGACAACGATTACATCAATAATTGTACCAATTGATCAGATCACTGTAACTTGACAAAAATAATTATGATAAAAAAACTCGTCCAGCCATTTAGGTTTTAGGTGCCAATCACCTTTTTTTTTCTCTTCTGTTCAATAACCAAGTCATTTGCAGTTTTTCTCTTCAAATACACTTTTATTAACTCAGTTCGCTTTTTTCATAATTCAATTTATAGGAATAGCATTCAAGATACCACCAAAACTTGCATCACCTTCGATGCAATCAACGCTGCCTACTTGGATGCTCGTAAGAGAATTCGTAAGTATTGGATGATTCAAACAACAACTTCAACAAAAAGAAGGGAATTCGTATACTCTCAACCAATTTTCAACCAATTTTTTACGCGAAATGTCCGATGTTTCTCCTTTGAAACCACATTTCAACTAAATTTTCATTTTCTTTCCCAAAGATGTATCAAATCCCAAAGGCGAGTGGAAGACTGAAGACATCGCAACGGTTGGTGAGCTTCTGCTGGACATTTCCATACAGTTGGCAAGAACGTGAGTGTGTGTGCATTGTGCACAAGATATTTCTCTCTTGGTTCAATTCTATGTATGCCATCACGATAATTTACCTCGGTCCAAAAATTTATAGCCTCTAATTTGAGCCATGATAATTGGTTATGATTTAATGCAATTAATTGTATAATGGCAATAATTAGCGGGTGAAAAAAAGGCCGAAATGCTTCATAACATGTGCTACTGTTTATATACGAACAAAAACGAAATCTGGATAAACGTTTTTTTTTTGTTTTCGACTCTAGCTCTTGCTGCGTTATGTGTAGTTGCTTGAAGTTCATTGCATGTGAGCATAGTAATCATAAATTTCCAGGTAGATCAAGAAAACTGGTGGTAAAAAAATGCCGCTGCCGAAAATTACGTGTTTCTACACCGATGTGTGTGCATTAGTCAAAACCCTTCTAAATTTGCATTCAAAGCAGAAAATGAAGTAATTAATTCCCAGGTCGTGTGTGTTCTCTCCACATCGCGAAAGACGATTTAATTCATTCCGTTGCATACTTTGTTTCATTGTAGCCATAAGCGAGCAGAAAATTGGCGGGTTTGGTTTAATCTCGGCATTTCAGTTATTTGTTGACTATAATCTAGCGTTTAATGTTTGTGCGAAAACAAAATATGTTCGACGTAGTGTCAATTGAGCGATTAGCACAGTAAAACTGGAGGATTAAATTGAAAAGGTGTTTCAAAACTCAATGAAAATGCGTGTGTTGCGAGTACGCGTGTGCGTAACTTTGCGCAATGGATTCATTTCAATGAAAGAGTACCTTTGCCGAACGCCCATTACAAGAGCCAAAGTGTTTAGCGTACACGAGATCTAAGACAAAAGCCATTGTTCATTCCCATTATAGCTGTGCACTTGTAATGAACTGAATAAATGTTTAATGGGAATTAATGTACACGGCTGAAGTAAATATTTATCGAGCGTTTATTTGATTTCAACATTGAATTCTTTCGTTGCATTTCGAGGAAGCAGAGTCACCAACGCTAGCGGCTACAATACGTGTGTGTATGTGCAGTGTACATGCTGGCGCAGGTCCGGTTTTCATTTTGCTCAGCATCATTTTATGTTGCATCTCTCCCATACCTATCGCTCTCTGTCACTCTATGGACACATTTTGTAGCAACAGAGAAAAAAAATGTAAATGCAATGATCTCGTATTCGCGATGTAATAAACATGTGACATGTAATTTAATATGCTACCAACCAGCAACTAGCCAATTTCAATGTGCACACGTAATAATAGTGATTGATGCAAAGAGATCAAGATGAACCGATTAGATTTCTAGCCGCAAGCTACCCATACTATTCATCCGATTGATTCGATGGGCAAATACAGTGTTTGTGTCGCATCCAAAGCCCATCATTAAACGGATAATTATTTATTAAAATCCAATTTATTTTTATCGATATCGTGGATCTTTTACACACACACACATGCACACACCAACAATTCACCAAATTGCAAAATTCACATGCATGAGAATTGCGCACTTTTAGTTCTTTGAAATAGATTCGTCATCGACATGATAATTCATGTGGATCGCAATAATTCGATAAGACACGAATTTGTTATGCTCTTATGGATTTTCACTTCTACAAAGCGATGGAGATACCCTTCGAAAAGAGCATTATCGAACGAAAAACTGCCACGGCATTTGAATGTTTCAACCATCGCTTCCCATTATGTCCAAGAATAGCATTTCATTCGAAATAACCGCCTCCCAAACCGATTTCATTGCACCGCTCGAAATCGAAAGTAAAAGTTAAGCAGATTTTGTGCTGACCCATCAAAGAGATATGATCTGCATATGCCATAATACTACTACCTCCACATGAACCAATTTGTAACATACACTCCGTTTTTTTTTTTCAACACGTAATATATATTTGTTTTTTCAATTCAAAACTTAAATAATTGATTTTGCTCTGAACCGTTTCATAATCATTCAACTAAATTAATTGACATGAATGCGAACAACAGTGTATGACTATAAAATAGTATTTGCCAAGCAACACGGTTACCCCATTACTATCATGTTTGCCGAATGTTGTTGCGACGCATTGACCCAAAATGAGGTTCGATGTATACAAAAGCTGCTGAACTTAACCTTTTAATCATGAACCAAACTATTTCATTGGAAATGAAAAATGACGAAGGCGGAAAATGACCGACAAACATTTGATTAGTTCCCAAATCATTAGCAACTCAGCGTTTACTTTGTTTTAATTGGTGTAAAAATATTTGTTTGATCCATCTCTATACATACAGGGAAAAAACCATAATAGTGCTCTCGATATTCATTGCAAATTATGTGAATTGACCGCGTTGGCACACAACACAAAGAAAAAGCATTCTGTGGAACGTTTTCACGAACGTGCATAACAAATAGCGTAAAATAGACAAATGAGCGTGAATTAATGGCATGCTCGATCTCAATCTCATTGTATGTATCGCTCTTTTTTTTTTGCAATACAATTAGCTCTTTAAACGTTCAACAAGTTGACCCTAGTAATGGTAAAAATGTCCAAGAAATAGATATTGACTTTCGAATCAATGTGATACATATCTAAGATCGAATCAATGATTTTACTTTCTCTCTTCTTTCTCATTAGGTATGGTTTGTCCTATGAAGATATTGAAAATGGTTTGCCACAAATTGACACCTCACGAACATTGATTCGTGAAGTTTGCCCACCGTTCCTGTCAGTTGTTGAGTGTCGTGCAGGAAAATATCGCCGATTTGATGGATTGTGTAACAATTTGGAGCATCCAACGTGGGGAGCCACTATGACACCTTTCCAACGTTTGATCGGGCCACTGTATGCCGATGGAATCAACGCTCCAAGAATTTCAATCACCGGCCATGATTTACCATTGTCTCGAGTTGTTTCACGCACCATTCATCCAGACGAAGGCTTCCACGATCATGCTGGCACTGTTATGGTTATCGCTTGGGGTCAGTTTACAGATTTACTTTTTTCGTTATGTTAATAATTATTAATAATAAAATGTTATTGGCGGGAAATCTGTAGGTCAGTTTATGGACCACGATTTCACATTGACAGGAACCCCATTGGATCCAGCCAATCGTAACGATCCCGAAGAGTGTTGCCAACGACCGTTGCATTTGAAACATCCATACTGTAATGAAATCCGCGTTCCCGATGACGATTACTTCTATCGCTTGTTTAATGTGAAGTGTATCGATTTTGTGCGTGCATTCCCATCACCTCGAGCTGGCTGCAAACTTGGATCACGGGCACCATTTAATACGCTCACTGCCGTTATTGATGGCAACACCATTTATGGTGTGAAAGAAGATTTTGCACGAAAACTGCGAGAAGGTCAAGGCGGTCGCTTGCGAATGAATCCAGTTTTTCGGGAGTATGGCTTGAAAGACGTGTTGCCACTGAAACTCGATTTCCCAGGTACGTTAAGTGAACATCAGTTGTTGAGTTCATTCATTTAATTCTTACTTTCATGAAAAATTGCATCTTGTTCTGATGCGGGTGACTATAAATGTCAAGTCGTCTTTTGAAGAAAAAAAAAATTGTTTTTTTTAGATGAAGGTTGTACACGACCTAGCAAGGATGTATTCTGTTTCGAAGCCGGTGAAATTCGAGTGAACGAACAATTGGTACTATCTTGCATGCACACTATGATGGCCCGGAACCATAATCGAATAGCAAAAGGATTAGCTGAAGTCAATCCACATTGGGACGATGAAACTTTGTTCCAAGAAGCGCGTCGCATCAACATTGCCACAATTCAACACATTACCTTCAATGAATTCTTGCCAATTTTACTCGGCAAAGAAGTGATGGAGAAATTTGGATTAGTTCTAAACAAAGAAGGATACTGGGATGGGTAAGCGCTGAGGAAAATTCTGAAGATTGATTGAGTTTTCATGTTAATTTGTCATTTTCAGCTACGATCCAAAAGTCAATCCATCAATCATTGACTCATTTGCTGCTGCCGCATTCCGTTTCGGTCATTCGTTGTTACCAACAGCCGTTGAACGCTGGTCCAAAGCACACAAATTCATCTGTAATTCAATTAATCTTCTTTTTTTCTTCATTTCTTCTTCTATTCCCTTCCATCCGTACCGTTTTTTTTGTATTTCAAGCGAATAATAACAATTTCAACATTTTCCTTCAGCTTCCAAACGTCTATCAGATTTGATTCGTCGTCCATTCGATCTGTACCGTGCCGGTGTATTCGACGAATATTTAATGGGTTTGATGAATCAAGTGGCACAAGCTATGGACGATTCAATCACTCAAGAAGTAACCAATCATCTGTTCAAGAAAGATGGCAATCGTTTCGGTCATGATTTAGTTTCATTCAACATGCAACGTGGTCGTGAATTTGGTGTGCCCGGATATATGGAATTCCGTAAATTCTGCGGCTTATCTGTGGCTAACTCATGGGAAGAAATGGGTGGATCAATGACAAATGAAACTATCTATCGCTATCAAAGCATTTTCGAGTAAGTGAACTATGTATTAGATATAAATGTGTGTGCAGACAAATTGAGGATTGGTATCTAACCTATTATTATGCATTGCAGGCATCCATCTGATATTGATTTGTGGAGCGGAGGTGTATCTGAAAAAGCATTGCCAGGCTCAATGTTAGGGCCAACTTTTGCTTGTATCATTGCCACACAAATGAGCTACGTTCGTCGTGGTGATCGTTTCTGGTTCGAATTGCCGAATCAACCATCTACCTTTACTCCAGAACAACTGCAGGAACTTCGCAAAGCCAAATTGTCGCGTGTCATCTGCGACAATACCGATTTGATTGACACCGTTCAAATTTATCCAATGGTTTTGCCTGATCACGAAATGTGAGTATTTAAAAATAATTCAAAACAATTGACATTCAATTTGAATCAAGTGGCATAAGTATTGAAAGTCATCTTGAATTCTTCTAATCTTCTCGATCGAAGAAAATTGAAATATTTTTAAATGAGTTTTCATATAATTTCTTTAAATTTTTGCAGTAATCCACGTGTGCCATGTAAGAGTGGAATTATTCCATCAATAGATTTGACGAAATGGGCTGAATATGCACCAGACTACGCACCACATCAATACGTAATTACTTTAATTCAATTAAAGCTTCATCACTTTACTCATTTCTTTTTGTTCCTACTTTCAGAACATTCTGAACGAAATTCCAAACACAGTGGTAAGCTTCAAATGAAGATCGCTTCCTTGGGCCACACAATGGAGCACATGAAACGAGAATGCCCATCATTCTTTTTGGGAGCATTTTTTTCTCTCTATTTCTCTTTTCTCAAAGTCATTTAAATATTAGTGAACATTTCATTTCGAAAAATGATCATTGATCATTGATCAATGCAACCAATCAAAAATAAAATGCACTTCAATCATGTATATAATATGTCACTGTTCACATCAATATGATGGGCACATTTCAAACACTCACTCAATAAGCCACGCAAAAACTGCTTGCCATAAGAATACACTTTTTCCTTCTATTTCTCTCGTAGAATTTCTCAATAGATTTATCGCATCCTATTAACAATTTCTATTAAAAACTCTCAACCTTCTTTTTTCTATTCTTCTCAAAAATCACAACCTCTCCAATTATATTTATCTCTCAAATTTCCTTTCTACTCAACATTTTATTTCAGCAAGATTTTTGTTTTCACTTTCATACAATTTCGCAGGAAGAATAATTTAAATATGTAAAAATTGCGAAAAATCGTTGAACATACAACACTTTTACTCTGTATAAACACTTGAAATCGTACACGATTGAATTTGTATATAAGAATTTTAGATTTTAAGACAATGAATAAATGACTTTAAATCAAATAAACAACAACAAAAAACAACATGAACAATGTGTACATAGCGAAGCTGCAAATAAAACCACAAAAATGAAAATGATAAAAGCCATTGTTGTAAATAAATAAATACTGTATTTAAAATACATAAAAGAGAACAAAAATATTTTAGAGCCTCAATATTTCACTGTAAAAAGCAAAAAAAAAAAATCACACAAACCAACAATTCTGCATATTATTTGTAAAAATGTTATGCACCAATCTTAAGGACCACTATTTTTTTGGGTAAAGTGAAATCGTTTTTCCTCTGTCTCACTCAAAGCAAAAATGTCATCGCCATTCTTTTTCGTTATTCATTAGGATTTCATAAACAACATATTAAAACGTCGAAAGCGATCGGCCCATGACTTCGATGACGGAGAAAAGAAATCCAAAGGTGTCAAAGTGTACGAATACTATGAATCAAAAAGAACAAAATCAAAGAAGAAACCCAACCATCGCGATATGACAACAACAGTTTATACCTCATCAAAAACGGTGACTGCAAATGATAAAGATCCAAAACATCGTGAACGACTTGCAACGTATCGCAAACCGCGACCGCACGACTTTGAAGCATCTGACATACCTGAAGCGTCTGAAGCGGATGATTTGGCAAATGATCAATACTTCTATGATCAGCTGGAAAAGAATAAACCACCAACCGAAATCAATGCTGATATAGAGCATGTTTATGAAAAACGGCCCAATCCAAATCGTGATGTGGTTTTCTATCACGGTACAAATGGTGGTCGAAGAGGAAAACCTCGTCAAAAACAGGCAAACATTCAAATCGCAAACGTTGAGAGCACTCGAGATGGAGACATATTTAATGATTATGGTGAAATGGTGATGCCAGACAGAGATGTAGAAATGCACGATACATCTGAAAAGAACACAAAAGAGTCACATGTACATGGTCCAGCTCAATATTCTTATGATGCTAAAATGCGACCGAAAAAACGGCGACGACCCAGCTGCAATAATTCGAATCCTATAATGCACTCGTATGGCACCAATTCACATGGTCTTCCATATAATCATAAGCTACTGCCAAACGATGGGGCCGTTCAGCAGCAAAATTTGCAAAATCAAAATCTGAAGCATCATAAGACGGTCGTTGTGCATCAACCAGTTCGCAAGCGGAAGTTTGAACGGATTATGGTCACGAAGAAACTGAGCAGCCCCGATGAACTGCATGCCGAAATCGACAAAATATTCGAAACGAAGAATAAACACTATGACAAACGCGGACACGACAAATCGCATTGGGAGTTACGCATCGTACCGCACCATTATGACGAACACGCAGAAGAACAAACCAATTGAATTTTGCTGTGCATTTAGTTGGATTCGATGATTTTTTTTAGCATACCTTAGAAAATTGACTCTTTGAAATGATATTCATTAATAGAAGTAAAGATTTTTGGATTTAGAAAAGACGAATTGTCATTTCATTTAAATAAAAAATAAAAGTAAATGGGGAAAAAATCATAAACTGCCATAGAGCAGTTTTTCAACTAGTTTCGTCTGCATATCTACTAATACCGTTACCTTTTTCAGTTGATCGAATGAAAAAATCGATATTTTGGTTATTTTATATTTTATTGAATCATAAATTCGAGCAATGTGAAACATAAATAATGACAAATGAGTTCTTACAATAAGGTATGAGTATATTTTTTAATTCCAGCATTTCTAAATGGAATCAAATAAAATTTCGGGCCCAGGCGCCATGGACGAAAAAAGCGTTCAACTTAAAATAAATTCATAAAGTCTTAAACAAAAATCACACATCAACTATATCACGTTGCTGGAGTTGATCCAATGTACCGTTTTTAATTTCATGCTTAAAATTTGTTGAGGAATGGGGCAATCGAACCGATGTCTTCACAATCTACAAATGAATGAAATTACGTAATAATTGCACATTCAAATGACGTAAGAAGTATCGAAATGAAATTAAAATAAATCGATGACGCACCTGGAATTACTTTTCCCTTGAATTTCACACATCCATCGGCGCACATTTGGCCTTCAAAATATGATCCGTACATTTTCTTGCATTGGGCACAGTTCCTCAGGCAAATTCCCACCAAATCAAAGTCTCCACCGGATTCTGAAACAGCAAATAGAGATTTTTTTTAATTAGAAATGGTAGGAAATCCCCATAAAAGTATTGCATAGTCTTACCTATAACGGGATTTGCCAAACTCCAATCAGCTAAGGCCAATGCAACGAATACAATGCACATAATTGCTCCAATTTTTCCAAACATTTCGACTATTTTATCTCCGCTGCTCCGTGTCACAAATAAATCCGTAAGGCTGAGTGAATGTAGAAAAAATTTGAAAACTATAAAACACCATTTACGTCGATCAAGACTTTGACTTTGCAACAGAAAAGAACGATAAATTTCACGATGAAAAAAATATGATCGTAATTCAATCTGAAACGATCGATCGATTGCCGTGATAACGAGTCAACAAACGAAAATGGAATAGTGAGTTTTGCATCTGGTCGATCGAAAAATTCGTGGTCATGGCTTCTTCATCATCGGTTATGAACGTAATTTTGAATGGTGGGGTCGGCGCTCCAGGCCACCGCAGAATGAACAGCAAAAAAAATCATATGAACCGTCGCGAGATCGGCTCTACACTCTCTCGTGTAATAACGCCATTCTGTTGTGTGTGTTTTTGGCAACACGCTTTGATAATCTCTGTTTGCCTTCTCTTTTCGGTGTTTTTATGCAAAATAAATATATGTAGCAAAACGGAAGCAATATTGAACTGTCTTTTTGACCGCTACGCGCCCATGTGACGCGTCTCATACCAATTTATCCCATTTTCGTGATAGAGAAAACAACAGCGAGTGGTAAACTGGTTTTTCTTCAATTCAGTCGGGGTTTAAGTTCGTTGCGCTTTCCACGCACGCCCCGGAATGAATCATGGATAAATGTTCTTAGGGACAAAAAATAATCGATTTTATGATAATTTTTACACTTTTGTTGTGTGTACACTTCCTAACTGCCAGAAGAGGTACGAAAAAAAAAGACTGAGTAAAAGCCGCGCACAAAACGGAAATACGTTTATCATTTAAAGTAGCTTCTTTTGCAAATTTTACAAGTTTTATGTTTTTTTTTTCTTCGTGCTGCTGCTGCTGTTGCTTGTTTCGTGCAACATGCGAAGTTTGTGCCGCATCTATCCATTCAACCGTCAGATTAAATGAGTCAATCTGATGTGGATTGTGGTCCGTTCAATCAACAGGTTTGTTATAATTTGTACACAAATCACGCGGTCAACCGCATTATTGATCATATAATTTGACGAAAATTCTATGCCTTTACCAAAAAGAGCATGAATAAAAAAAAAAAAAAAATATTCCACTCTTCGTTTCATTTCCGCATCCATTTATCATACTTAAGAAGCTATTAATATATTCGTTATGGATATTTGGCGGTTTGAAGATGTTCAATGATATCGTGTGGCTTTTTTTCATTGATACTATTGTTTTTTTTTTCGGTTGAAGAAAGTGTGGAAAATTTTTGGTTAACAAAATATGCAAGTACGATTGAGAAAGTGGTTCATCCATCCTTTTCCATTTTCACTGCATTACTGAATCAATCGTATCGTCCACTTCCGCATAATTTCACGCATAAAATTGGTAAACATCGGAAAACGGAATGCAAAAACTCAACAAAAAGACAACCTGTTATTGGGAATCAGTTGAACGGTTTTTGAACACGCATTGCCACATCCATCCGAATGTGCAACGAATGATGAAAATAATGCGATTTAAATGCGATCGTTGAATTACAGAGATAAAAAGAAGAACGAGACATGCAAAGTAATTGGCAATTAATACGATTCAAGATTTGTAATCGACTTATTTATTGGGATTTAGTCACTTCATTTCGTATGTCGGTGTAATAAAAAAAAAACAGCAACAGTGGCGCGGAAGAGCCATTGCCATTGTATACGATGTTTTATACTACACACACCGATCACGAAATATTCATTTTGCAAAAGAAACGAAGCCGACGAACGAAGAGATATAAGAAAAAGCGGTGCGCACGCGACAAAAGTCATTGGGCGGCTGCATAATCGTTTATGATTCAATATTTTTGGCACTAAAGCGAAACCACAGTGTAATCGAAAAAATAGCGGAATTTGGGAATAAAAAAACCGTTGCTAACGCTTGGAACAGTTGAGTTTATTAGAATTCAATGTCATGTTTTTTTTTGCTCTCGTCGCTTCACACACATCTGGTTGACACGACTTTTTATCGAAATGATCGTTTTATATTCAAATATTTAACGTATCTTCCCGGTGTGTTATCACACCAATCCATCAAGTGGCTGTCAATATTTTTATGCGATTTTTACCTGTTTCGTTGAAACGTTGGTTGAATTCGTTGAAACGATTTACGCAGTTAATGTCTGCTGATGATGATCACAAACGCGTGCGCTATCGACACAAAACTCTATTCAACACCAATTCAGTAACGAAGATTGTATCTGAAGATAATTTAGTGACCACTCAAATGAAATCGAATGTTATCGTTAGCACAACAATTTCGGTCTGACTGAGAATAGAATGGATACGGGTTCTTTTATAGGGAACCATTTTTTTCAACACAAATACATCGCTGAAATCCATTCGGATGTAAGCGAATTCTTCTTCCTTTGTCTGTTTCGTTCCGTTTTTGCTTTGCTTTTCTTTATTTTTCTTCTTCATGTGTCTCGTGTGTTATGGTTTTGATGGTGTGAACGACGGCGCGCAGATGCTGAGCAAATTTATTGGATTTGTTGTTTAATTTGATTGGTTTCGGCTCTCGCATATATTCATTTATGTTTAATTCACGCATCGACCACATTCGTGGCAGTGTTAATGAATGGCTTGTGCTATGGTGTTACGCATGCAGAGCCAATGGGAAACGAAAAAAAATCAATACTACTGTGTAAAGTATGTGGTCATCACTTCCGGATTCTTGTTATCATTGCTTAATGGATTTATCCATTCGTCACACCACAGTAGTTCGTAAATTCGATTCTGATTTAATTAACTGCATTTTATGCACTCAAAAGAAAATCCACATGTGGAGACAACATTTTTATGACTTGACAACAGTTTCGCTTTTACTGTTATTCGCGTTTATTTTGTAAATTTTATTGCCAGCATCACGTTCACCAACTGGTTCAACTGCACCATATCCGTCTCGCCAATTTGTCTCCATATGCATACGAAAAATAGAATCTCAATCAAAATGCTTCATCTTTTTTTTACAAAACAAAATTTATAGGAATGAAATTTTTATTTGTTCTTCTCAAATAACAAATTTCTTTTAAAAAATTGTACTTATTCCGATATTGCTGAACTTTTTTTTTTATGAAATATTAAATTCAAGTCTATATGTATACTTTAATATCTATGGATATTTAGCTTATGTGTGATTGATTCTAATTTCGACCGATTCTTTATAAATTGGTCATGTTTAAATTTGTTGTCTTAATGTGTTGAATTATTGAATTACCTATATGTGATGTTATCATTTTTGTTTAAACATATAAATATTGACAAAACGTATTTGGGTACAAAACTGCATTTTTTTGTCCGTAGAAATAAGTTTTCAAACTAAATGCGATCTGTCGCTTAATGAATGACCATGACTGAACTTCAATATGATCATCCGTTGCTCATTTGTAATGGAACTTCAATTTGACCAAGTACTTGATTCGGACCTGAGTTGGGTCATAAACCACCTGAAAAATGCAGAAAAATCAAGGAAAATCAAATTATAAGCAATATTTCGACAACCATGGTTCATTCATAAGCCAATGTTCATTCAAATGACTTACGTATTCGTTGTACAGGAGGGCTGACTGGTATGAAACTCGTTGCAAACCGCCAGACGCAACGTTCACACCGTCGATCATTGCATTTTTCGTCGGAACTGTAATGCCGCATGCTCGAACCGATTGCTGTTTTGCATTTGGAAGTCCAGTGAGGTTATTTTTGGCAAAATAGTGATCTTGTGTTTGGCCTAATGCGACTTCGCACAGCAACATCAAGCCAACATCGACGTTGTTGTCCTTTATGCAATAATTCGCTGCCTTACTCGCAACGTCTGCGAAGTAAATTCCCTTGTTGTACATGTAACCGTTGGCTGTAATGAAATTTATGTTGAATTCGCGTTATATGGATTGCTCCCAATTCGAATCACATTTAAAAATCTATTTTTTTACCTGGAGCTTCTGGCGGAGCGATTTTCAATCCATTCGACAGAATGCTAACGATGTTCGATAGACGTGATCCGTGCCAGAGCAACTGATGGTTTGGTAGGTGTGCGTATTGTTGAAAACGCTCGTCTTCATCTTCACGTCGCACTTCGAACACTTCCAGAACCTCGTACGTATACCAATTATGAGTTGCCCCATGTGTGTTTTGCACAGCACTCCAAATTTGTAAGAATGTAGACGAATACTGGTCAACTGGTTCAATTTTTGTGTGCAATTTCTGATAACAAGCATCAAGTGGATTGCATTTATCGTTGTTACCGTCGAGGAACTCGTAGATCAAATTCGTATTTAGCAAACTTTCCAGAAGTTCGTTCTTCTCGTTGACCGTTTCAATGGAATCGATGATTGTTAATCGATTGATGCCGAACCCATGTGGAATTAATGTGTAAAACTGGCATGATGCCTCTCGAAGTTTAGCAAGTGATCCACTGTGTTCGATTTTGTTTGAAATATCCCCGAGAACGGTCATCGCTGCTTTAATTTGGTTCGCGCTGATCTTTCCAAGTGGCATCTGCTTGAGATCAAGGTCACATGTTTTGGTTATCATGTTTTCCACACGTTTCAGGTCAAAAAGCATTTGCATCAGTTGATAAACTATTAGGACCAAATTCATTTCAATTGATATTCATTTCCAATGAATTTCTTCTATGAATTTTCGAAATATCTCACCTGAATCACTTAGTTTGCTTTTGATATTTGTATTTGGTGTCTGTTTGGATAGGTCGAATTCAATTTCGAGATGGTAGTATTTGCCCGGTTTTTTTATGAATCCTTGATTGCCAAAATCATTTCCCGTTTTCTCTCTGTACAGGTGTGTGAATTTTTCGATGCCAGCGACTTTGCTCACCATCTTGAGACGTTTTGAACCGATCAATGTCGATATGCGACCCCATGATTCAAACAACCAATACCTTGATGAAGAAAAATCAAATTGTAAGCAATGTCTCGACTGTGGTTCATTCATAAGCCAATTTTCATTCAAATGACTTACATGTTTTGCTGATTTGACTCCAACATCTGAATTCGATAGTATGAATTTTTGTCGTTTTCAATATCAACAAGACCCAAAATCACCGAGAATTCCATCCGTTTTCCGTTGATTATTTCACTGTACACATGGGCATCATCTTCCAAGCCGGATTCAGGATCGACTGCGCAACCATCTAAAATGAATCAATTGCTTTGGTTAGACTCACATGTGATGCCAGAAAATGGTGATTTTACCTTTCCATTTGTACGTGATTTTTTCGGGCAGTGATTGTGTATAGGAAGAATTCGTTTTTTTCGGCACAACTTTGCTCTGCTCGATACGATTATGTGGCTGTAATGGAAAAAACAATGAAATAAATCCATACCACTCACATGTTAGAGAATTCGGAATTAATTCATACATCGATACCCCAACCCGCTATATCATTTTCGATTATGTACTGATATGGATCTGTGTTTGTGAAATCTTCCGTCAGAAAATCGTCCAAAATCACTTGAATCTTGAATTTCTTTGCCTGCCGTATTTCAAATCTCATCGATTCAACTCCTTGGTGGTTTGAAATGACAGCAGTCAATCTGTCGTGCACATCTTCAACGACTTTGGCTCCCATTTTCCGAAGTTTTCTTTCTATTTCTTGTGTCGGCAGTTTGAATTTGCCAACAATCACAAATTCCATGTTGAACAACGGCGGATGTTTGTATGGCCTGACAGAAAATGTTTCAAGATTCAACGTAAAAACTTGGATTGAAATAAGTCGACGAATGAACTTACGCATAAACCAAATCTTGACCATTTTCGTCAGTTAGACGAAAAGAATGCAAAGCTCGTGTGCGCACCGGTCGATTTAATTTCAGAAATGGATATTTCTTCAGCAAAGGACCGGGTATGACTGTGATTTCCCTTTGCGGCTCTTTCACTTCATTGCTGCACTTCGACCAGGTTCTGACATGTGAACACAGATACGTGGTATCGGCAAATACAAGACTGCGTATTCCACATTCGCTGCATGCTTGTAGAGCGCCGTACAGAATGATATCCGTCAAATGATGCAAACACTATGAAATGAATAAATTATTATTTAGTGAAAAAGTCCATTGAAAAATACCCTAACCTCAACACGCGATTTCGGTATCATTTGACCATTGACACGAAATATACTGCGTCCATCGTGATCTGTAATTACGCTGGAGAGTTTGTCGTACAATTCATAGTATTCCTTGTTCTGTTCTTCGATGAGCTTCTCTAGACCCTCTTTATTTGGATTGGTTCGGCTTTCAGCAGTCAATTGATTCAATCCTCGACTTATCAATCTGCAAGTAAAATCATTTCATGTTTTGTTTTTGCTTTCATTTTCATCGCGTGGTTGTGTATTGCCTATGTCAAACTTACGGAATTTGTCTTTTTACCGTTTCCTTGTCCAGCTCCGACAGTCGTTTGAAGCCAGGCATTGACTCTCCCGATTGAAGCCAACCAAGTTCCGATCTAGATCTTGCAAAACATAGCGTATGATACCACACTGCTTTGCCATCAAACGCAGTATTCTGGTTTTCGTCGTGGACAACGTTCATGATGCGTATTTCGCCCTTTTTGATTTTGTTTTGGCACTTTGCACAAGAAACTTGTCCTCGTCGCGTGAATTCAATGCAAAAACCTGACTGTGTTTGTACTATCTCGATATCATGGTTGACTTCCAACGTACCTGTCAGATTAATGGGATGAAATTGAAAAAACAAATCTTCTCAATAAAATGTGTATGCAATCTAACCCAAGTGTTCCTTGATTGTAAGCTGATCGGCATATCGAAGTTTGGCGAATCCATCGAAAGCAGCTTCTGTTCGAGGCAGACACGTTTTGAAAAAGCACTTCACATGATACCATCTGGGGATGCAACAGTCGTCGTCATCCGACTAAATCAGACCAAATAAAATGATACACGAAAAAGTCAAGCACAGAAAGAAATTTGATGCAAAACTGAATGTAAGGTGAGTTTATCAATATTTCCATGACAGCGTTTCAAACGAACCGTTTGAATAATGGATCGAATTGATATATTCATTTCCTACATTCTATTTTCTCATGGTATTTCTTCATTCTTTAGTTTCTACGAATTTTCGAAATATCTCACCTGAATCATGATTGCCATTTGCAAATGACCGCTTCGAATGATTTCCGAACATTTTTTGCATTCTTCAACGCCGTCAGCGTAGCGGATTTTATACGGCAATGAGTTGATCATCGTTGACACTTTTTCATCAAAAGCCTTTGAACAAACAAACAATTCGAAAAAAATATACTCAACAGCACAATACTTTAATCACAAAAACAAACATTGTTGCTTATGAAAAGGCTGGACATTTGTGTTCTGTTGTTCCACTTGTTGTTATGTGTTTGTAATATGCAAATATTCTCCACTGTTTACTACCGCGCACCAGCACAATGAAGCGGTTTTATCGGCGCTTGTCAAACAAACTCACATTTTGGCGCAATCTCAACCAACTTCAAGTCTGTCAACATCAAAACGATTAGATGGATTGCTAGTCATTCTCGCTGCACAAATTCACTCTTTGACGCCGACACAACTAAACACACATCAGAATTCGATTTATTGCGATGACTATCGCTGTTTTCTCCTAAGTAAAATTTCAAAACGAGTACTTCAAGACAACATTTTATGAAATCATTTCAACTTCAATTTCATACTTAATTTTTTCGTTCCATATTATTCACTCAAACCGTTTTTGTTCACACAAGAGTGTCGACAAATGTATTAATTCGGAATGAGAATTTGTTTGCACCAAACACAAAACAGTTTTGAAATCACTTTGTTTCACGAGCAATAGGATTTATTTGGGTAAAAAGCGTATTTACTATAAGAAATTATAGTCTAGCACAAAGAGCCATCGATTTTCCCGTATTTTTCATATTGTTTTCTCTGAAAATGTAAATACCATTCTAAACATAGGATTTTTTGGTTCACACAGTGAGTATATTGTTTATTCGGTCAATTGAGCCTAACGCTATGACGAATATAATGATAGTAAGGTCAACAAATACTGTGAATACAATTCACTGGTTGAAATCGAATTTACTGGACGTTCACACACGTCGAAACACTTCGTTTTATTATGTGCAAATTGGGAAGTAAGTTGTTGGAACTCGATAAATGATGTCGCAAAATTGCGTCGCTTGGAATTGGATGTAAACGAACCATCAGTCTGTAGCAGTACCTACACCGCCGTTCATTCACCCAATCTTCAACATTTGACTGTTTACATTCAAACTTCATTTCATAAAAAGAACACTTCCCACAAGAAACCATTGGCTGAGCTCTTACGCTTAAACCCGAATCTACGAAGCTTATTCATTTATGGTGACATCGATGCCGAATACGTTCAGAGCGTTAGTGAACATCTACAGCATCTGTAAAGCTTGAAAATCGGTGGCAATGGGCAGTTCTCGAATATTGGGAATAATACCGTGCACTTTTCAAATGTGAAGAAGTTCAAATTACGAAATGTGACATACGAACTTCCTTTCACATTCGACCAACTTGAAGAATTGGATGTCAAATGGCATATTATGGACCATACATTGGCTGATTTTATCAGCAATCAAAGAGCGCTCACCAAGCTGAATTATTCGTATTACCAACACAGACATATGGGTGGCGGGAGCATTGTTGAAGATCGCATCGCCATTACTGATTGAAGTCAACTTGCATAGCTGCGAATTCCAAGTTGATGAAGTGGTCGCTTTCATGGACAAATGCACATCGCTGAAGAGGCTCAAACTTCAATTCCATGAAGAAAATGACTACGACGCTTTGCAGGAACGGTTGGATAAAAAATGGCATGGAACCAGGGCGCAACACACGTTACGATGGAACGTTAGGTCAACACCACACGATGAGCCGTCAACAGAACGGTATGAAAGTCGGTAATCCCCATCAAATGTCAAGCTATGTAAAAAAAACCAATTTGATTCATGTGACAGAGAAACAATAATACTTTATTTTGCTGAACTTTTATTTGACTTAAAAAAATAAATCTGAAGACGAAAACAAAACATCAAGTAGCATTTTTCCGTTGCAATTTGAATTAACCCGGCGAAATTCGTAATTGAAAATACGTAATAACTCAGAACAGAACCATACGTAATGTTTGCTGTCAAATTCAAATGACATTTAAACGACTTTCACTTTTTGCCCACTGTTTAATCAGCTGTCATTTTTTTTTATCGTCAAACAACACCTCAACAGTGCTTATCAGAGACGTTGCTGTCATTAATCACGGCTTAAGTTTTGAATTCAAGTGTGACATTTTTTAGAAGAAAATGGAAATTCTGGGTTCAATCAAAACATACGACTGGGGAACACGGGGTAGTCAATCAAAAGTCGCTCAACTGGCTTCGAAAAATGATGAGAATTTTGCCAAAGAATTCAATGAAACAACGCCGTATGCGGAGCTGTGGTATGTTTTGGTTTGTTTGTTTTGAGTTGTACAGTGATAAGCATAAATATGCCACTTCCTTGTTTTGTTTATTCAATTTGAATAGGATGGGTGATCATGTTAGCGGTCCATCGCTAATTAAATCCACTGGTGAATCAATCTCAAAACTTATTGCTAGCGACAACTCATCAATTGGAGGTGCTACGTCTTTACCATTCCTATTCAAAGTATTAAGCATAACGAAACCATTAAGCATTCAAGTGCATCCCAACAAGGTAATTAGCATTGAATTAAAACCAAATCGAATCATAAATGAACGAATAATGCTTCATTTTTGGGCTCATTCATGAATTATTCATGTAATTTTGTTTATTTTATTCGCAAAAAACATGTTATTCTATCAATTCTGTAGGAACAAGCTGAACAACTGCACGCAACCCGACCGGACTTGTATAAAGATCCAAACCACAAACCAGAAATCACAATCGCTCTGACCGACTTCTTGGCACTTTGCGGCTTTCGAACACCAGCTGAACTGTACAATCAACTGAAAAGTAAGCGTTGCACAATTGGTTTGTTATGTTACTTCATTTTTTTTTGCGTATTTCTCATGTGTTTGTGTCTCTCCCTACACGCCACAGAATACCAAGCATTAACCAATTTAATTGGAGCTGATACCATTGAAGAGCTACAGAAGCAACCAACCAGTGAATCGATCAAAGTATGCTACACCAAATTGATGAGCTCGCCCCAAGATGCAATCGTGAAGTGTATCTCTGATTTATCGGTCATTTTCAATGAGAACAAAGAAGACGAACTGTTGACAAATGTATTCAAGCATTGCAATCATTACTTTCCGAATGACATTGGAGTGTTGTCAATTTTCTTTATGAATATAATCCAAATGAAACCTGGCCAAGCCATTTTTCTGGCTGCCAATGTACCACATGCTTATCTCTCCGGTGATTGTATTGAATGCATGGCATGTTCCGACAATGTAATTCGTGCTGGTTTGACGCCAAAATTCAAAGATGTTGAAACTCTTCTGGAAATGCTTGATTTCACAGGAAAAACAGCCGAAGAAAAATTCTTTCAATCTCTTCCCGTTGGGCCATACTCTGAACTTTTCAAACCACCTGTGAAAGATTTTGCTGTTGTTCAAGTCAAAGTGCCAGACACCGTTCAGAACTATTGCATTGAGAACAGAGCAAATGGATCCATTATTATTGTGCTCAAAGGAAACGCTTCAGCTGCATACTTAGGTCGTCAATTGTTCGAATTGAAAGAAGGTTCGATTGTCTTTGTGCCAGCCTGTATCAAGAGTGTCGGTTTGACATTTAACCATCCCGATGCAGAGGGTTTCATCGCATATCAGGCTCTTTACAACGACTTCTAAACGGAACATTCTTCATTCTTTCTCGCTAAAAACCATTGAAATCTACTAAGAAGTAGAAACAAAAAAAACGATGCATTTTTCTATTCAAAAGAGGTCAAGTTTTATTTTTCTATTTGTCATGTGTATGTTTTTTTGCTTTTCTGTTCAACTTCACAATTTGTGAAACGCAAGCATTTGAAGAGACTTTTTATTTGTACAAATTTTATTTTTCCAATGTTTATAATTAAAACTTATAAACATGTCTTAAATGATACATTCCTTTGTGTGGATTCAGGGAAACAATTACATTTAATATGAATATTTACAAATGGAAATGGAAATATGTTATTATTTATCAAATAAACTAGCTTAAATTTTGTTTTGTTTTTTACGGCATTGAATACTGTCATGTTTTATTTTCTCCTTCAATTAATTTGAACTGTCTGCTGTATATATCTCGTGGTGACGAGAACTCGATATCGATTCTCATGTCCAATCATGAATTGACACGTGTAATGTGTGTATGTTTGTGAGTGTGATTTATTGTTTGTTGTCGTTTGTGAAATGTAATGTGTATGTTTATCGTCTGGATGATTTTCTTGAAGCAGGAGTCTTTGGTGTGGGTGGTGCTTTATCTTTTTTTACCTTTTTATTGCTGGAACCTGGATTTTCTCGAGTATTTCTTCGTTTTTGTGATAGTGTAGTGATGTCACTGAGTTCAGAAAAAACTGATTCGTTATCGGATTCATCTTCGCTGCAAATCGATTGTAACCGTTTCTTGCTTCGACTTGACGCCTTCGGAATACTAGCTTCTGATGCTTGTGATACTGTTCGGGTTGATGCCCTTGAAGCACATCGTTTTGATCTACTTCGCTTCGACGAGATATCATCGTCTGCATCGTCTTCAAGTGTAAAACGGCCGCTGTCGTTCTCTTTACTTTTGCTGGGTTTTGGTGTTTCGGCTCGGGATGGTGTGGACGGAGGCTGCATTACTTCAACTTTTTTCGCTGGTGCTTTCTTTGATTGTCTGGGTGTTGCTGACGCAGGCGGTGGTTTTTTTGCTTTTTTCAAAAACGGCGCCCAAAATGCACGTGGCTGCGCATATTCCAGCAACGATTCAAAATGTATACACATATTTGTACAGAATTTATCCAATACTGGTTCGAACATCGCTTGATTCATTGACCGTAGATCAGTGTCAATGCTTGATATCAAAGGCACAATTTTCTCAACAGTCGCCAAAGACTGTTTCAACGTTGGTTGATTGTTCTTTTTTCCGCCACGACCCTTCTTCTCAGACTCATCGGCTTTTTCCGGATTCAGTTCATTCGCGACTAGATCATTGTCGTCATTCATTGCTATTCCCTCTCCGTTATGACTCTCTTTCACGATTTTCTCAAGATTCTTCTTTTGCTTTTCGTTAACAACGCATATTTCGGAGCAAATGAACAAAAAATCTGCGATAGCCGATTGGAAGTCACTGGATTTGGCTATTGCTGGTTCCTTTTGGATGAACTCATGCAATCGTGAGATGTTACCGAAATACATATACAAGTAGACCGGTTCGATCTTACGTATCAAATATTGATAGATGTATTCACGTGCACCTTTCTTTGTTGCGCCCTTGAGAATGCTGCCCGACCGTGATAGGCCCGAATTTCCTTGACCAAAGCATGGACATGCGTTAAACACAAATGGACATTCGATCAAACAGGTACGCAGGAAAATTTCACTTTTTTCGTACGTATACTTCATTATCAATTCCACAGCCAACTCTTTGATTTCACGCTGTTGATCCAGCAAACCTGCCAATATGTAAATCAGCAATGTGCCACGAAACTTTAAGTAATCTTCCAGTATTAGCGCAGCCAATGTTTTCATTGCAAACTCACGAATATTGCTGTAGTGATGCTGAGTTTTCATTAGAATGTATGGCACTATTGTCTCGACAACAGCCGTATTTCTAAATTTGGATGGAAAATAAATGGTTTAGAATATTCATTTCAAAATAAAATCTTTTCCACAAGATTCAATGGAATTACTCACTTTTTGCACAAATAACCCAAGCACTTGATTGCTGTGAATGAAACTTCCGTGTGGTCAATGGATCGGAGAATTTTACCTAGATGCGGTACAAATCGAGCACAAATTTCTTGACTAAACGATGACAGCCCTGTCAGAACACTCAGTATGCAATTCACCTTATCCGACAGCATCGAATCATTTTGAACTGAATGGAAGAATTGGAATGAGGTTAAAATGGTACAGTATAAAGACAATTTTCCACCAAAAACATGATAATTTTAGAAATAAATTTTTTTTTCGCAAGCCCTCACCTGTAAGCTGCTGTTTATTGCCAACAACGTGCAAAAATGAAAAGAAAAAGTTGATGATGTCAGAATGAAGGGTTGACTGCAACACACTGGCAATCTCCGAATACAAGTAAACGTAGCTAATGAATCGATCGTCACACAGATTCTGTACAAACATTGAATTTTGATTGGCAAATATGTACGATTCGCATCGATTGCGAATCTTCGAAATGAAGTGTTTTCGATCTCTATCGCCCGACTCAACCGACAATTTGTAGCAAATGCCAAATGTGCGATTGATATTTCTCGGACGTAAACTGCCCGTTTCCAATGTTTCAGTCATGATGCGCTTTATTTCATTCTTCGACGGATTATTCAAATACTGTAGCCAAAATGACAACACCTCCAGTTGGATGTAGCAATTTTCGATGGTGTTTGTCTGTAATTTGATAGAAATTATCAGCATTTATTTTTATTTTAATGATGCAATGTGTTGAGAAAAACATGAATTTCTGTACAATAAAATGTCAGGGAATCAACTCACCATATCGTACTTCAAATTGGAGAGAAGTAATTTTGAGACCCTCTCCGGATTGTGACCTTGTATGTTTGGCGCAACGATAGCCAGGAGAATCCATGCTTCGGTCGCGTTGCTTGTATCCAAATGTGTTTCGATTTTCGAGAGCGTTTTTGCACTGTAACATTCAATACGAAAATAGATTAAACACCAAGAAACATCCAATGAAACATCAAAAATAAAATAATGCCAATTGTATCATACTTGAGCAGATTTCGATTCATCCATTTTTGAACGGATATTCGAAAATCGGGTGAATCTCTGCAATTCAGCATGCTTTTCAATAGCCTCCATGGATAAACATGCGTCAGCGATGGTGATTTTTCGTAGAATTCAATTTTGTCGAACACATTTCGCTTGAAGCTGTCAATAACAGCCTCCATGACTTTTGGATCGGTGTCGTTGGCCAAATCCAGGATGATTTTGATGTACGCATTGATCGCTGCCTCACTTGATGGCTTCGAATTCAGTATTTTGTCAAGCGATATGACCAGTTGACGTCGGACTAACTGCGATTGATCGATGAACAATTGTCGCAATTCCTGGTAAAAGAATAAAACAAATTTGGTATTGAATATTCCAAAAGTGTCCATATTTTCAACGAATGAATCAATTAAATTGCCTAAAAACAACTACAGTACTTACATAAGATGTCAACAACTCATCAATATCCAATGTGGTTGTGCCCAAAAAATCGAGCAATAAAACAGCGACACGTCGAACTAAAGCTGATAGGTTCTTCAACTGCAACCGTGTAGCGCACATCAGATTTTGCTTAATTTCCTTAATCAATAGTTTGAACTCGGTAGATTTCGTGTAATCAACAGCTTCTGAGCGTCGACTGACGCCGCTGTCTGAAGCGCTGTCGTCGTCCAATCGATTGCCTTGATCGTTCTCATTTTCTTCGCCATTTTCATTTTCTTTCTCTTTTTCATTTTCGTTTTCCATGTTATTTTGAGCGGCTACTAAATCAGAGCTCTCATTTATGTTGTCCAATTCACTGGTTTCAGTCTCTTCGACTTCATTTTGAGGTTCGAAGAAGCATTTCTAAGAAAAAGGTTGAAAAAAAAAAAAAATCGAGAATAAGATTAGCTATAAATAGGCAGCATTCAAAATTTAAATGAAATAAGATTACTCAAGAATGATGGGATAATCCATGTAAAACAGTAAACACGTCTGTGTTAAATCTTACTCTTATAATTTCCTTGCACAATAAATTGCCATCGGTAGCGACTTTTAAGAATGCATTTATCGCTTTCATGGCAACCACATTGTTGGAGTCGTAGATTTTCTGCAGCAAAATTCGAAGTAGATTGATTTCTCGTGGAATTTTCGGCAATTCAGAACGAAACAGTTCCCAATCACAGCGTGTGTTCATCATTAGCATGCGGCTAACAAGTTCGACGCAATTAGTTCGATGCGAAGATTCTTTGCTCAATGATAACTGCTGTAAGAAGCCGCATATCGATTGGCCACAAATTCGTACCATGGCTGCATCGTATTGTGCGCAAATATCCAAATATCGACTCAGTAAGTCTTTGTTTGTTGTGATCTCGGTGTCGGTTAGAATGGCTTGGATGTAACAATTCAGTGTGTCGCCCGTTTGACGTGGATAGTGCTTGAGCATATCGATGAACCAATCGGTGATAAGAGCGTATTTCGGTTTCAAGCCCGATCCCGCGCACGGTCGATGAAATCGCGTCAAACAAGCAGTTCCATTCAGCACCATTGCCAAGCTAGCTGTGATATCGGTATTGTGAATGGGCAGGCAGGTATTCTCAAGTGTGGTGTAGCACAACTCTTGGATCTCAAACGAATCTGTTTTGGAAAACATTAAAAAAAGTGAAGAAAAACAAGCGAAGAAAATAAATAAAACAAGTAAGAACACACAATCTTATTGAAAACGGAGGTTGAACAAACAGCACACAAAACAGAACACAATCCCTCAATTCATCTCAACTCACATTTATTCAAAAACCCTTTTTCATGATGGAATTCCATAATCGATCCGATTGCTTCAACGAAATGTACTTGCAATTCTTCGTACTCTTCAAACGACACATGTTTCAAATACAATTGTAACTCCTCCAACAATAACGTGATCATCATTTGTAATTGAACGCGTTCACTTTCACGATAAACTCCCAAATTTTTGAGGATGTCAAACATTTTGAACACTTTTCGCAGTAAATCCGGCTGAAATGCACCGAAAATCTTCGCTCCAGGCGAAGTAAGTAGCAACACATATGTTCGGCACACACAAATGCCCAGTTTTTTCTGCATAAAACCTTCATCTTTCGTCGTGTTTTCAACGAGACCCGTGAAGAACGCCAGCAAATGTTCGATAGAAATAATTTTGGAAAAATACTCCCAACTATCGTGCGTATTATCAAATACATCAGATTCACGTGTCTGTCGACATTCCGTACAAATCTCCGTTAAATTGTTGATCAGTTCGCTGAGCTCCAAATGTTGTGGTAGTTGATTGGTGAATTGTAGCCGAATTTGTTCGGCCGATGCATTGTTTGCATCAAAATAATCCGTTAATTTTTTCAAAAATAAGTGTATGTCGTGCATTGTTCCAATCTTTTACGTAATTATTCATTCTAAATCACAATTAATATGAAAAAAGATGATTAGGTATTGAATATTTTTCTAGTTACTTTCTTAGGAAAAATGGGAACAAAAAATGCGTTAAGTCTACGTTTATTATTTTAAATGGCAAATCGAAATAGAAATTCGACAGGAAAACCAAGACAAACTAAAATGTTTATTCAAAGTGAGTCTCCGTTTGTCAATGACTGTGCTCTCTCTGTCTCATCTGTCACAATACAAAATCAACTCAAAGAATGCGTGCCGTTTTGTGAATGGTTCACAATTCTCCTCCATTACGAAGCGACAGCATCAATGTTTTTTACTTTTACGTAAAGAAAAAAAAAAGTTGGTTTTGCCCCTTCTTTGGTATACGATTCTCAGGTTAGATTTTTTTTTTTTTTAACTTTTTTTTCCTCTTTCTCGCTCAATTTTCTTTAGTTTTTCAATTTTTGTGTGTCTTTATTTGTATTTCGCTTTGCGAGTTTCTTGTATCAAACTAAATTTAATGGGCGAATGTTTGATATGGAAAATGTGCTCGGATACGTATTCGTTCATATTATCACCAATTATCTCATACGTTCCGTTCAGCACAGTAAAAAATTTCAATGCTCGCTTGCGACAGGATACCAACTATAATTTTGAAACCAACTTGAAACAAATATTTTTCCTTTATGAAAATGTTTTTATGGATTTTGCAACGACAACAAAACAATAAGTATATGAATCGATGATAAGTTGATGGTTGATAGCCCAGTAGATTTCCATTTGTGTTTCAACAGTTTTGTGGCGAACAAAAAAGAATTCGCTCACTAGCACATACGGTAATGGAAATCAGAGCTTCGTCACTAGTTGCAAAGTTGATGGTGTCATTTCATATTCACACAACGCGCTGTTGGGGTCAGATTTTTTTTTTTCTTCGTACGTTCGCCAATTTCACATTTCGCCAATTTTGACTTTTCATTTACGGTACATTCGACTTACAAAAACACTTTGTTGTCACTTGTTTGTTTACGATTTTACTGTTGCAATTGTTGAATGGTATGCATAACATTTTTGCGGGAATGTTTTATTATTATTTTGATTTTGACGCAACACACAACACATACGACTTCACTGACGAAGAATTTTTTTTCATTCACTTGTTCGTAGTGTATGTCACATTCGTATGGCGCTGCTGTGTTGTGCGGTCGATACGAGAACAACGGCCATTTGGAGTGGAATGTATAAGGTTTGTACTGGAGAGTTTTTGATTTCGGTTAAATGAGCGCGGAAATTTTTCACTCAAACACATTTTCTCAATGACAATTGAGTTTTGCCACCTAAAATTAACTAAAAATGAATTTACTATTGATTTAAATCAATTTTTTCGACGCAAAATGTCGCGTTTCTTTGGCAGCGTGTCGATGAGCGTCGTCATGCTCAGAGTGCGCTTGGTAGTTAACTGAGACGATTTCCCGCGTTTGTAACTCTCGGTATTGAGTGTGCGCTTAAGTACATTTAACACAAGCCGAAATGTTTTGAGTGTTCTGTTCGCAAGGCAACCGCAAAATGTTTACTGTGAGTTATGCATCGGGCCGCACTTCCATTGGTACATACATGCCACACATACATGCCTAATAGCCAACGCGTATTCGTTTGACTCGTCATTGTTTTTATTCGCTCGCACATACACGCCATACGACAAAAACGAGTATACAAACACCAATACATGCACACAAACCAGTTACCATCGTTTTACGTGCCGCGCACAGGTACTAAAACCAACATTCAATCATAGGAGTCGAAAATGTCCGGACGAACATTTGTGTGATCTCGGTGTCTCTCTGTGTTTCATATCGGGGCAAATGTTTTATTTGTTTCCATCAACAAAAACATTTGAACATTTTTTTTTTTGTTTTTCGCAAATCGGTGAAGTGTAAAAGCAGAAGCGAAATTATTTTTTATGTGTAAATTGTGAGTGTGCAACGGAAAGAATTGGGAAAATTGGTTTTTATTTCGAACGAAAAAGAAAAGAAATTGCGCAAATTTGAAGCGCCCATCGGATATTGTCGTGTGTTTGTGTGTGAAATATATATATTCAAAAGAAAAGAAGAGTTGCAGGGAATTTATCTTCTTGAGTTCTTTTTTTCTCTTCATTTTTTTCTGTTGCTCTTGTTGCTGTTGAAAGAATGCGAGCAGTTGAACTGTGGACACACACATCACATACGCATTTACAGTGAGTGTGTGTATACGACAGAATTAAGAGAATTAATTGACCGCAGCAGCATTCATGCATATATGTAAATAGTTGTGTGAATAGTTCAGTTGTTGTTGCTGTTCGGCTGTTTAGTATGTTTTTTTTTTTCGTGTGTGTCTTCAGAAAGTTCTCTGGGTTCTTTGCCTCACATCGTCAAACCAAAGCAGTGGCTAAGTGTATATATATATATATATATATATATATATATATATGATTCTGTACCGATACAAAGGCAACCGGTTTGGTCAATTCAAAAATGATTTAACGCCGCAAAAGAAAATGAGCGATTTTATTCTCTCTCTCTCTCTCTCTCTTTCTCTTTCCACGGTTCTGTCGTCGGATTTGAAATCGAATCATTTTTAAAGAAAAATAAGATACAGTGAAAAATTAGAGACATTCAACGAAATGATACAAAAGAATTCGATATTCAATTGTTCGATATACGATGGTGTTTGTGTACATTTATATATAAAAAATACTGAAGTGAATAAATATTTATTTTCATAATTTTCACCGCCGTCGCCGTCATTATCATGCTTGTCATTGTTGTTGTCAAGAGTGTATGCGATTTGGTGGCTCCGACATTCACACAAACCCAATCCGTTGTGTGTCTTGATATTTAATTTCTATTCATGATATTATCACGATGTATATATACATTCATTCGGCTTTTAAGCAATTTCATTGAGTTGCTAAATTCTTTTTTGTTCTCTCTCGCTCATTGCCAGTTCATTCTTCTTGTTTTTGTTGTTGTTGTTGTTTTTTTTTGCAATATTTGATGCGCGTCCGTGCACATACACGATATACGATTCAAACGAAATATATTTTTGTTCTTCTTGTCTTCGGAACGAGCGAGTGTGTGTCAGTTGCGAACGTCGTGTCAAATGTCTTCTTTTTTTTTTCTCTCTCTCTCTCTCTCGCTCTCTTTTTCCCTGTTTCTTGTGCTTTGCTCTCCGTGCGTGTGCTTCAAATGCCATATCCAAAAGAATTGTATGTTATTTACTACGACGACACAGAGCATTAGTACAGTACCGAGGTTTACGGTGATGACGATGACGGTGTGTATGATGTATAGATGGTTGTAGTACACGCCACTGCACAAGGAACACCAAAAGAACAACAGCACACATATGAAATGTAAAATAAAACGACGACGAGTGAGAATTGCACACAGAAATCGGTCCCAGACTCACCACTGTGAACTCAATTTACGTTACAATGGATCACATTCAGTAGGAAGAGCACTCAGTGGGGCCAGTGCGCGCTCTTTTTATTTTTTATTCATTAAAATCAAGCAAAATTTTTCATTCAAAGTGCTGTGAACTGTATTTTTAGCAGGAAAACGAGAGAGAAGCCCGTGCGAGCAAACGAATCTGAGAGAGAGAGAGAGAGAGAGTGAGTGTGAATGGAAAAATAGGGTGTGCCATCGGCACGGCATACACGAGAAATAGACACAACATACCATCATGGTCTATTTTTTTAAACACAAAATGATAATAGCAATAATTTACAGGTTTTGTTTATCCAATTTCGTATGAATGCTCGTTCGGACGTTTGTTCCGACGTGTGTGCTGACTGCTGAGCTGGGTTGAATAATTGAATAGTTTTCTGGAAGTTGAGTTAGACACTGCGATTGTAATACAAGGAAGAAAGAGAACTCGACTCACAACCGCACACAGTATGTGTGTGTGTACACATTTGCGTCGTCAACGTGCATGGTTTTGCTCTGTCTCTTTCTCGAAAATTGTGTTTGTGTAACATGAATCGCGTATTTACGCTGTGTATAATAATGTATTATATTGTGAAATACGTCTTTTTTCCACGCTATGTGCATTTCTTCTCTATTTCCACACAATACCGAACCGAAAAAAATGTGCTCGTTATTCGCATATTAGCTCGCTTTTTGTTTGTACTCGCTGTCTCTTGCTGTGTGTGTATGCTACAACCACTGATAAAAATGTGCTAACTGAATTAATTGCTGTCATTTTTTTCCTACCTTGTTACCTTGTTTTCATTTGTCATCTTTTTTCTGACACTCTCTCTCTCTTTCTTTTTTACAGAAATGAAGAATGATTTTTTCCCCTATTTCGTTGATCAAACTATTATCATTGGCAAAATGAACGAATAACACAATGCAATGAAATTATTTTGCTTGTGGAGACACACCATTTTCGAACATATAAATGAAAAAAACAAAATCATCAGCAGATAAATAAAAATTGCGACGATTGTGGTGTTTTGTTGGTGAATTTGGGGCCGAGAATAACAGGCCAATTGTCATCTACGTTACTGATCAGAACAAATTTACGTAGTCATACGTATCGCGAGCGCGGTGTAAACGAGCGTGGCCCGATTTGAATTGATGGTGGGTTTGTGTATTTTTTTTTTCTGGATCGATCCGGGCAATCGAATCCAAATTGACAAATTTATTTTCGTGGAAAATTTTAATTGGCTTTCGAATTTCCAATCAAACAAATCTATAGTGTGCGAGTTAATCGATATCGCGGTTCGGAAGCATTAGTCATCCGGAAAAACCAATTTACATGTGTCAACGTATCCATTTCAACAGCATTTCCGAATGATTTTAATTCGTGGAGCTTTGTTCGATCTTTTTATTTTTACATTTTATTCATTTGACATCGACCTAAAGTTTGAACTTTCTCATTCGTGCAGCTAAACGAAACAGAAAACACAAAAAAAATTGAATTCGAAAAAAAACGAGACGAAGGAAGAAAAATTGAAGAAAAAAAAGTGAAATACTATAAACGTTTTATTGTGTGTTTATGTGAGTGTGTGTGAAACGAGACAACAAGTTTAAACATGTTTAAGTGCATTCCGATATTTAAAGGCTGTAATCGCCAAATTGAATTCGTTGATAAGCGGCATTGCAGCTTACAAAATGTGCCCGAAGAGATCCTACGCTATTCGCGAAGCCTCGAAGAGCTGCTTCTCGATGCAAATCATCTCAGAGAGCTGCCAAAGGTAAGAATCATTCATATTTCCTTCTTCATTTTTTCATCAAGCACGTGAGAGAAGTGTGATTCTCGTAAAATTCTCGATTTTTATCGACCAAAACAAATAATGTGTTGTAATTTCGCGTGTACTACGAGGAAAAGCAAACGTTCATTTGCGTATGTGTGTTTATTTTTCTCGCAATGTAAAACCACCGAGCCTCAAAAGTGTGAGCTCGTAATTGCCCAGCAAAGTTTGCTCAACAAACTGACCGTTTAACACGAATTGGTGTATTTCATTCGATCATTTAGACTTGAAATGATGTAATAAATTGTTTACTCATTTTTTTCGACAATTAAATAAACAATTTAAATTTCGGGAGAAAATTCAACGCTGCAAACTGAAAACAGACAAAAATCGATTGGAATGTCGAAAAATGAAAATTGTTTTTTTTTTTTTTTTAAATTGAAATGGTCAAGCCTTTTTTGGGGCGAACCATTTGCATATTTGCAAGTGGATGTTCTGCAGCAACACAGCCTCGGCCGATTAATTGACTGAAACATTGACTGAATAATCGAATTAATTGGCTCTCAATATCCGATTGGAGCTTTTTTCAGGCGTAAATTTCAAATTCGGCGATAAAATCTACACAGTCGTTGGATAATTTACAAAAAATGCTGAATAAATAGACACAACCATATTGTCATTTGGCCCGTGGATATTGGTTGTTCATGTTGTTGCTGCTATGACTGCTGACTTAATGTCGATGTAACTTATTGCAATTGATTTGAACTCATTTGATAGAAATGTGCTGGCTGGAGTGCGCGCTCGCTCGCCCATTTATGCCTCGTAGGCGGGGTGTAGTATCGGGTTGAAAATTAATTCATTCCAAAGCCATTGCGATATCGATCGGGGGCCTTTATGTCGAAGAAGAAGACCCAACCGAAGACAAAAAAAATGCTGCAAAAAATGAATATTTATTCCAAGTCTGTTTACTGAACTGTGTGTATGTGCGGAGTTGCAATGAAGTGAGAGTGAGAGAACAAAATCGCAGCGAACGAACAAGCAAACGATTGTTGTTTTATGCTTAGCAATAGTGGATATTCTATGACCCGATTTTCCTGGCATTGCATACGAAAAAAAACATCCAATCCATATTGCTGGTATGAGCGAGCGGGTGCGCGCTCTATCGAAACCAACTCACTAAAAACACACACACATACATAAACACACACACACATTTGTATACCACATTACATTCTAATTTGCAGCTGAATGTGATAGAAAGCAGAGAAAATTACCATTTGCGAAAATTGATCAACTGGGTACTTACCTTTGTTTGCCATTCGCGTCTTTCTCCATTAAAATACGTTTCATGTCGGTGTCATAAAATGTTGTGCCAAACAAAATCCCCAAGTTTATCATTGCATCTAGTCCATTACATTGATTACAGCTCATAGTTCTCTCTCACACTCGCTCTCGCTCTCGCTCACTCGCTCTCATTAGCTATTCTTTTCGCGCCGTGTTTGAATTGATCGAGCACTTTTTTTTTATTGATGCTTCAACAATATCATAAAAACACATTTGATACTCCTTTTTTTCGATGAAATCTCCATTTCAAAGTGAATATCGTCGAGAAAAAAATTGTGAAAAATAGTCTCACCCAGAATTTCAGTGTCAATATGGCTGTCTCTCTTCCTATGATATATTTGCATAGGAAAAATTTCTTTTCAACTTTTACTTTTACTCTTCCGTTTTAGTTAAAAATAACAATAAATCATCCGAATAACGAGATTGAGTGTGGAAGGTAGAGAGAATAGCTTTTCCATGTAAATGCCACCTTTGACCTTTTCAAACAATCAAACAATGGTATCGATGATGCCCAGGGTTGAATGCCATGCATATCGTTCATTTCATTGTTCCACTGTTGCTCTATTAGCAGATGCAATAAAATGGCAAATATTGAAGCAATATATACTCGAAAATGTTGTGTGTCATTAAAAGATTCATAATTTGCATCCATTTAGGATTTGCTGAACAATTTCGGTATGGATATATGTGTATGTTCTGCTTTATTCCAGAAGGGTTTGCTGTCAGTTTCCATTTCAGAAATCAACCTCATTTTCTCTTGACAATGACACATATTTGTGCAATGCGAGCTCCATTTTACCTGTGTGTCATCGCTAATCGTATCAATTTCGTTTTGCTATTTACTTTATAAATAAGTACACCGACAGTTTTGACTGAGTCGCATGCTTTTTGCCATCGCATAATACACATTACAAAGTGGCAAAATGCTGTTGTGTGATTTGTTTGCGTGTGATGTGGCTTGTAAATACGTTCAGACGCAAAAGAGAAACATGCGTTGGGATTTGTGTGTGTCATTTGCTTCGTATCAAATGAGTTTTCAAGTTGTGCGTGTATTTGCATTTGTAAACTAATTGTTTGTGTGGTTGTTGATTCGATGTACAATTTATCGTTGTAGTTGTCGTTGTTGTTGTTGTCGTCGTCACCGTTGCCGCAGCTTGTTCAACGCCCCGTCATGGAATAGAATAGTGCACAAACAACACTGCAAACTATACGTTGCATACTCCGTAAAACAATGCGAATGGAAAAATGAAATTGAGATAGCACTTACAATATGGTATTATTTGCTTAAGTGAATCTGTAATAGTTTATTTACCGTATCGATATAAATACTTCCCCTTTTGAAATCATGAGAATCGAAATTGAAAATTTCGCTTCACATCGCAATGCATGCCATATGATACGCTCCAATAGTATGCAGCTTAACATTTCAACACATTCGTTTTTTTTTTAAATCCACGGTCACTGAAACCGACCATCTGATTTACTGTTATATTTTTTTGTTCTGTTCTGTTTGGTCGAAGCGAAACTGGATTTCGGTTACATTTGTTTTGCATATGTAATTACGAGTGAACGAGTAACAAGAGTGTTTTTAATCTCTCTCGCAGTGAGTAGTTTGGGCCGTAGGTGATATTTTAAAAATTTAAATATGAATTTCAATATTATTTCTCTCGTTCGCTTCGCTTGCATTTTCATTGGCTGTTGAAATGGGCGAAACGAAAAATCCTTTCGATAAAACAATTACCATTTTATTCATTGCGATGACCCAATTTCGGCACTCTGCCACTTGGAATTCTAAATCACTCATCGCGATCGGTCAGAATTGCTGCTTCGACAGCGGCGGCAGTTCGAACGCAACAACGGTCAGGAATATTTTACAGCTCTTTTGCTCACACTCTTTCATCTCATCACATTTCAAACTGTTAAGCAGTTGTTGCGTTTTTGTTGTTGTTGCTTTTCGTTTGTTGTTGTATTTTTTCCGATTTTAAAAATAACATTTTCCTCGAAACATAACGTTCATTTCAATTCACGCCATAACGTGAACCATGTGTTCGGACTTTTTTTGTTGATAAATTTCGTTGATCGGCGTGGTCTCCCTCTCTCTGTATGTGTCGAGAACAGCTTTTTGCCTCATTCTGTATGCTGTATGACGTCAATTGCCAACCGAAATGTAGGTGGTCGCAATGGATTCGTTCCATTTCTATTTGTGAGAGAGAAATAAAAGAGATGACCCCAAAGAAAAAAGAATTAATCATCGAAATTTTATGATCGCCTCTTTAAAATCAATTTTTACGGATGAAATAGCAGCAGCAACAGCCTTAGTGACAACAACTGACTTGATAACAGAGAGAAAAAAAGCGAATATGTTTTTTTTGGTGATTTGTAATTCAAATGTGGTGATTCAAAAATGATGAAAATGGGAAAAATGCGATACGGAATTTTCGGAATCGAAATCAAATCATACATTTATGTTAATTCAGTGATTAATCGCATAATAATAATTCGGTGCGAATGTTCGTGTTTGCTTGTCATGAAATGAATTGAGTTCAATGGGCGGCAAACGTTTTGAAAACGATCTGTTTTTTGAACTATTAATTTTGCTGCATGAAATGATATTCAATTGAAGCCAATCTGTCCGTATCGAAAAATGAAGCGATGAGCCGAAATGAAGAGCGAGCGAGCGGGCGAGATAAATAGGCTGATATTTATAATTTAATATCCGAATTTCATGATTTATTTGCGTCAATTTACTGACTGGAATTGATGCAGAAAATTATTCACATTGCGAACTCCATCGTCCGAAATTAACATAGTTCCATCAGAATACTGGCAGCGTTTTTGCGCTAAAGCGTAAATAATATGACTAGAGCAGCAGAAGCGGCAGCGGCAGCAACATGGCAGCATAGGCATTATGGATTTTGCATTTAATGCGAATGGAGCGGAACTCTCATAATTATCATCGTCGTTGTCGGGAAAGTATAATGCAAAAGTGCTTGAGGCATGCAAACGGTAGAGGAAATTCTATCCAGATTCGTTCAAAATGCTGCTTTCGAGAAATGTGTATCCATTATATGTGGATGTTTCCAAATGAGAACAATGGGCCAGCAACAGCAGCAGCAGCTAAACCGTAACTCGAGAGAAAATATGTGTCACTGCTTTTCTTAAATTCATTCTCCAACCTTCCATATTGATGACGTCTGAATAATGCAAGCACTCTCACTCTCTCTCTCTCTCTCTCTTCGTCGTCGTCATCGTCATCGTCTTCTACTTCTTTTATTCTCTCAATATCGCATGCAGATCGTGTACCATTCATTTTACGATGCTTTGTTCTCGCGAAACCTCATCGCATCGCTCTTATTCAAGCGAAATTTCTCACTCTCAATCACTTACATTGCCACTATCCTTCTCTTTCTCTTTCTCTCTCTCTCTTTCTCTCTCTCTTCTACTTCTCTTTTTTCTTTTCTTCTCTCGCTTGCATTTTGTCTTTTTACAATAAAGTACCATCTGATCTGATGAATCTTTCGAATGGTTTTGTGGCGCTGCAAAACTTTTGCAACAACTTTGCACAAATATCAATCGGGGAAAATTGGGAGAAAGCAAACGAAACTTTTCGAACGAATGAGGGGGACTAGTGTATGTGGTGTATATTGTGAAAATAAAATCAGGATCTAAGTTTACAAGATGAAATCTGCGTTGCTTACACAACCGATTGTGTGTGTTGAACCGAGTCAGAGGGAGAGAGAGAGAGAGAAAGCATTTCATGGAGCAAAATAACTATAAACTATCCGCGTTCAGTCAAGAGCAAGTGATGCTTTGCTCTTTAGTTCACTTCTTCAGTTGAATTGTTATTATTATACTGTTCGTTCGCTGTGTGTAGATCCAATTAACTTAAATTTCGGAGATAAGACACGTACACTTGGCTCATGAATGAAATTGTTCAGCGCAAATAAGAGTTGAAAATAAAACCTCCATTTTGAATATACGAGATGCTGATGCCTCCACTTTTTTCTTCTTTCTATATTAACTAAATTATTTATAAACCACACAGTGAAAATGAGGCGAACTCAACTGAGCCAAACTGTCTCACGAACACATTGATTCATTGCATTTTCATTTTGATTCATTGAGAATAAATGCACGTGAAAAAGAGGAAAAGAATTTTTTTTCTCTATCTATTCTCCTCTTTTCGCCGTTGAAATAAAAAAAATCCAGTACAATAATGCACGTAACATGCTCGATGCTGACAGAAACAGCGCAATCGAGTGTTGAATCAATAATAAGTCGAAACATCGATTTTCAATTTCAATAGAAATTGTCAAACCGTCTCATTCCGCTTAAATAATTTCGAAATGGCTCATTTCACTTCGTTTCCAAACACACATAAAAAAAAAATGTTCGGTTCAATTTCCGGTGTAAACAATGAAATTATTCTCGATGTCGCCCCAAATGGAAGTTTCTCAATTGCGTCGTTTCCCATTGTTTTGCGTGGATTGAACGCGCGCCGCGTCATTCACGTTGCATATTTTCAGCTCATTAAGCCGTAGATAGACAGCTAATTGAGTTTTCAGCTGTAAAATTGAAAAAAAACTTTATTTTTCCCGAAATCGAAATGCACTGTCGACAAAAATCAAATTAAGCGAGAGCGGTTTTTTTGAACGGCAGTGGCGGCAGCCACCTGTAGCTCGGAATAGAACGCACTGGAAATGTGTGTATTAAGCATGGAACCTGGTTCCAAGCTGTTGTAACTGGCTCCATTTGAGAACTTTGACATTCAAAATGTCGAATGCACAAAAAGTTTCCTCCACTGTTTTTTTGCTCTCCGCCTTACACGATGTTTTCCTCTAATTTTGCGCAGTTACAAAACATCATAACAAAAAACCCGATACAGAACAAACAAACCGATTGAGCGAAAGAGGAACAACAACAACAACAACAACAGCAAAAAATGGCTGCTAGAAAATTAAATCGTATTTACTTTTACGTTTATTGCACATATTTTGCGAGCTAAAGACGAACGCATTCGTAGAAATTGGCTCGTTTTTGCTTGCTAATTGTTGTTTTTTGATTGCACATGGTCGTTTTATTGCATTGGCCGTTCGAAACAACGAAATTACTCATCGAAATGGTTTGTTTTTCGTCCATCGCCGCGCAAAATGAGAGCAAATGAGATTTTGTTTGGTTTTAATTATTCGTCGAATGTTGGGCTGATGAAATTCGACACATTCAATGCATTCGGTGTGATTGGCGTTAATGAGATTGTTGCTTATGTTTGTGCCAATCCATTCCGATTTCGATCGGACACATTGCATCGTTGAATCCTTCTTCTCTCTGTTTATATTGTCGTCAGTAACAAACGCGCATAGTTTTGTGCGTGCAAGTATACACAGTAATTGTAATGAGTTGTTTTTTTTTTTCTCTCTGTTTGTTTCTATTTCAGAATTTTTTTCGATTACATCGTTTGCGCAAATTGGGCTTGAGTGACAATGAAATCAAGAAATTGCCATCCGATCTACAGAATTTCGAGAATTTAGTGGAATTAGATGTGTCGAGAAATGGTAAGTGCCTTGTTTTTTTTCTTCTTCCTTCGCTAGTTTTTTATTCTTATTCATTTTCATGTTATATTGATACGATGTTTAATTCATTGGGTTCAATTTTACGCGGAATCGAAATCGATTCCGAAACGTAAATATTATGGACTTTATTAAAGAAGTGGGCGATTGAATGAAGTTTTTGTTTATGCTCGGGCAATCAAATTCATTGCATGAATACGAAACGAAAAGTTTCTTACTGAGCACAAAGCGAACGAACTCAAGCTTGCTTGCTTGGTCGTTCGCTCGGCATTCGAAATAAACTGACATGTGATGATAACGCGAAGCGATTTTCAATCTTTATTTCGTCCTGGCCGGACGCGGGAGAGTGCAACTCTCCCGCGTTCGCACTCGTGCTCGGCCAATTCAAGGATCTATATACGTTGTGTGAGCTGAATACATGAATATTGTTGGGGAAAATTCCCGGCACATCAAACATAAATCAAACGAAAAGTAAAAAGTATAACCCCGAATGTAAACGATTCCATCAGGTATCTATTATTCACCGGTCGTTCATTCGTTTCGGCTCACTCACCACCCAACTAACTCGATGACAGTCCACCACTCAAAGCCATAAGATTTCAGTAAACATCATTAGTCAAGACATTGTGCTAAAAGAGCAAACGAGGGAAGTTTCGATCGTGTAATAATTACGAGCCGCTCAGAAGCATAGTATAATTTGTGACAAAAACGCACATTCCACTCGAGCACCAACGAGATTAACAGAATGCGCACAATGAATTATAATTAATTCCACTTGGCGTTGGTGGCGGGCAACGACGATGATAATGATGCCATCCAGCTCTGCCATGACGAAAACCATGGAACTCATTAATGCATCTAATATTGTTCTGAAAATGCTAAGCATAAAACTAAATATTTTATTCCGACGTAAATCCATTTTTTTGCGCCGTTCGTTCTTGTTTTTTTCCTTCACTTTTTCGTCTGTGCCAACTTTATTCATTACATCTTGTTTTTTGTTGTATGTGTGTACTTCAAATGCCCCACGAATGATTCTAACTTGAAAGAGAAGGAAAAACTGCCATTCCAACCATAGAAAAAGTTGCTTGATCCAGAAGTAAGCGTAAAATGAGCAAGTCAGGCGAATAAAAAAGAAAGAGTTTTGAGATGCCTCTCGAAATACCTCAAAATATGCAAGCGGCTTACAGCAAAAACACACACACACACAAACAAGCCAATTGATAGGAAGGTGGAAAGAGAGAGAGAGGGAGAGAGAGAGAGAGAGAGAGAGAGAGAGAGAGAGAGAGAGAAAAGACCATTGCTGCTAAGAAGAGCACCAGCAGCACAGCGGCATAATAAGCCGTTTTTATTTTCGTTTGATATTTTATGTAAATAATCAAAAACGGAAACACGCTTGGCTGAACAACGCCCAAACAGAGCGATGCATTCCATTTCGAATTGAAGAGAGCATAAAATAAAATGGAAAAAAAAAATCTAAAATACCAACAAAAAAGAGTGCTGTGTAAAGAGAGCAAAAAATGCGAGCAAAAGAAGAAAGAAAAAAAGAATTGTAAATAAATATCAAAACAAAATACGTTACGGTAAAAATGAAATTTACAATTGCGAAATGGGAAAAAGAAAATTGTCGGCAGATAGTTGAACATCGCATAATAAACGATTTGAAAAAATGGAAATACTATTATGCAACGAATAATTTTTTGATAAAGAGTTTATTCAATTTTGTACACTTTTCTCTTGCCTCTCTTCCTCTCTTCTTCGTTTTAAAAATGGAATGCAATTATCGTTCTTTTGAGCCATTGCACCAGAGCATTCGGATATGCTTTGATACCATTCAAGTGTGCAGTGAAGCAGCTTTACACACACACATACAGATAGAGAGAGAGTAAGAAGTCAGATGTTTCTCGCTCCAAGCTCAATAATAACATTTATTCTAGTTCAATGCCTCCGAAAAGTTTGAGACGCGCAAACGAAGATAGCCAAAGCCAAAACACCACACTCGAGATGCCAATAAACGATGGTGATCCGATTTTAACTTGCATTCGCTCTCTCTCATTCCGTTATCAGTGCATGTTGATTTTGCAAATGCGTTTGCCAATGTATAAAGTCAGCTACAGTGAAGAGAACGAAAAAAAAGGAGTACGAAGTTTGAAGCATATGAAATTGCAGACAATTGAAATCATGTTGCTGATAGCGACCACACCCTGACAATGGCAACACAATAAAATGCTCGTCTCACCGAAAGCAACCGAGATAGCAATCGCCGACCAACATAAATCCGAATTTTATTCAAACCGAAAATGACAGCAACGAAAATTGGCAAAACATTGAAAACGAATGGATTATTGTACATTTTAAAAACCATTTTCACATAGCGAGCGAGTGCATGCAATGTGCTGCGATTTTTTACCTGCTAAATTCTTCATATTGGTTTGATTGCAAGTTCGAGAACAAGCGCGAAACATGCGATGATTGGAACGAGAGAGAGAGATAGACAGAGACAATGAATAAAAACGTAACCAATGGCAAAGAGTCAGAGTCAAGCATTTAAAATATTCAAATTCCAATCACATGTAAATTTACGACCGAACAGATTTAACAATGAGCATTTGCTGTTATCCCTCTCTCACTCGTTCTCCGTGTGTGTGTGTGTGTGCACTGTGCAGTGAATTTACATGCTCTTCGTGGTTTTGCATATGCCAAAAGAAGAAGCAGCAACCGCTTATACACACTCACACACACACTTTGGAAAAGAAACCACAACGAAATCAAGTAGTAATGATCAAAATGGAGAATTAACATCGTTAATTACAACCAATGCACTGGCCGAATCGCATCCAGCATTGATTGCGAGCAAATGATATGAATTGCATTGAGCGCTGTTCAGCAAAAAAACCACAAAACATTGAACACATTTATTTGAAACCCACAGATGAATGGTTTCAATACATATCACGGTAAAATGAATATATTTTACACTATAGCTACAAACACTATTCTATGAGAATCTCCTCTGATTTTTTATATCCAATACGTGATTCGTTGTTTGCCATTGCAATAATTTACGGGAAACAGCGATAAATCAGCGTTTCCCAGTGCATTTGCTACAGAAACCGCACTAAAATGCACACGGAGCTGAATATATATATAGATCGCTTGGGTTATTTTTGAAACGCTCCGAAAATATAATAAAAATCGAAGTAAAAAAAATGCAAACATGAATCGAGAGTGTGCAAATCATCCATCGACTAGTTTGTATACAACGAGTTGTTCACTCCTGAGCGTCTCTCTCGACTTCATTCTCTGGCTTTGGTTTGGTAGTTGTTGTTATGCCACTTCACAAAGTTGTGGACACAGACTGTAGAGCAGCAGCAGCAGCAGCAGCAGCAGCAGCAGCAGCGGTAACAATAACAATCATTTGGTTTTGTGGCAGACTACAATTGCAGAAAAATGAATCATGATATACATCGCAGATAAAACCGGCCCCATGTTATTACAGCGTTGTGTGTAATTTTCTCCATCGGTAGCGTTCAGAAGCGAACAAACCGGCGAGAGCAGCTTGACAGCTGTCAATTGATGTAAAATATATTGTTTACTTGATACATCGAATACGAACGAGTGAGTTGCGCTAAGACACACACACACTCTCATACCCACCGAGTGTTGTGTTCAGGCGAAGACGAAAGTAAAGTGTATCTGCAGATAGTGTCTCTCGATGGTCATGTCATTAGTGGGTTTGGCTTTTTTAGCACTACATGAAATGTAGAGCTACTAATCTGCTCTTTTTTTTACTAGATACTTTTTGAGTGTTGAAACAAATTATGGTGAATTTGAATTTTATGCTCATATTTTTTATTTAATTTAAAACAGTGGCAGTATCGACAAATAAGTGAATAATATCTCAAAGGGCCAATCAAATTTTTATCATCAAATGTTGTTTAAAAATTACATTAATTTTTCGTATAATATTTTCTGAATCTTGACCAGAATTAAAGTGATTTTAGATTCTATGCTCATATTATTTATTTAATTTAAACCAAAGGCGATATATTTCAAAAAAGAAATTAAACCAAGATCTTGTAATTCATTTTGCAAATAAATATATTACTTCAAAGTTATTTTGATGAAATACATTTCATGTAATGCGCCAAAAAAGTGTCTACCCCCTTGAATGAAATACATTTACAGATTCTTTGCGGTCTTGTTTTCTCTGCTGCACCATCGGCTAAAAACCACTACATTTGACGAACACTTTATGCTCCTTCGTATCATCGCAATTAATCTAGTTTTCCGCTTGAACGATGAATATTTTTGCATTTTACATGATCGCTACCGCTTTTGGCTATGAAAACCACCACAACGCGAATGATAAATCTTTCTCTTGACTCTCTGGCTATATATTGCTGCCGGTAAGCTCGATATTTCTTCTACACTGTGTCCTATGCATGCATACAAAACCGTACAATATATAACTTCTGACAATGGCATAGAGCGAGCCACATTGTTCATGCAATTATATTTTATGAGTTTCTGCAAGCGAAATTATTATTGTGGTTTTCTTTCGTTTCAAGTTTCAAGGTAGAAGGTAGAGAAGTGTGTGTGCACCACACTCGCGTTTCGGCCCAAGTTTTAATTCTAATTTGGCTTGATGAGTCTTTGAAAATAATTATCATTATGCATCGAATGTTTATTAATGTCATTGAAGACAGCCGTCATCGTCACCACTCCCATGTATGTACGGTGAAGAACGGAAGCACCCGAAAAAAATGATATATTCGCCCTTCAAGTACTTCTACCTGAAACACAACACACGAGTAAATTACTTTCTTAAACTAACCGATTAAGGCATAAGCGTTCGGATTGCAAGACGATGTGAAGTTTTTGCACGTCGATGTGACACATATGTGTGCATGGAAACGTGTGTTTACAATAGGGAGGCTCCCGTGAGGAGTGTTTGTACACGATTACGACCAATTTGATGGTGCAAC